CTAGCAATCTTGTTCATCCAAGGATGACTTTTGTAATACCCTGAAGAATGAATGTGCTCTATGGATTATACTTCAAACAATCCTTCATAGGTGGAATTTCTTTCTGAGGCTTTCAGTAAATCATGGAATGGCAGTGAGGTTGAGATTGCATCCTTGCCCAAGTACCTGCAGGCAGCTCTGCCATGCTACTGAGCAAGATGAGGTCTCTGCTTATTAGTCATCTGAGCTAGGTAGAAACCTGCCCATCTGCAGAATTAGGCATTGAGATGTGTGTGTGTGTGTGTGTGTGTGTGTGTGTGTGTGTGTGTGTGTGTGTAGGAAAAAGCCTTTTCTCTAGCAAGCAGGTGCTTCCGTGAAGACTTTTAAATAATGCCAATTTAACCTTGCATAAACAGACTTATCCATCCCATAACCATCTCAGTTTTAGTTGCACATAATTTGATTCACTTTTTATTTTAAGTATTTTACATACCTTCAACCTAACAATCTTACATTCCTTACAAGCAAACACTTTTCCATTCTTTAAAAAAAAAAAAAAAACAGCTCCCAGAAGTCTCAGGTTACATTTTTACCTATGGTGCATCAAAACATCTCACTACTCTTACGTGTTTAACTTTATACATTAAAAATACAAATATATTGATCAGGATGCATTGTACTATAAGCTGACATGTTGAATACAAATCCCTCTGTACAACTATTTAAAGACGGGAATAAAAATTATAAATCATAAGAACTATAAGATTATGATTTTATATAAAATATAATAATATATTATAATTATAAAAATAAAAATTAATAATAATAAAGAGTTTAAGATTGTGAGTTTTAATGGAAAGTGGGACTTAAGTGAAAAGACAAGCCTTAGAAGTTAAATTATGACTTGGGTAGAGCTCCAAAGAGATTTACTCCCCTAGGTCTGTAGTTACATTTTAAGGAGATGAAGGAGCCAACCTTATGATTAAGCTCCTGGAGAGGATCCCAGGGCTATAAAGCCAGAGTTCAAGTCTTAGCATCCTTCTGGAGGTATATATTTATATTCACAAAGACAAGAACTCAAGGTCCTTTCCAAGTTGAATTTATGTAAGTTCAAGGGATAGATTTCTCTCCCTTTCTCTGAGGCACTAGGAAGACAGCTGTCCTTTTCTTCTATAAGCATCAAGATTTATATTTATAGAGTTCTTCACCTCAGAGTATAGACCAAGGTTAGGTTGATATCTGGTTCTCATGCTAACATCCTAGAAAGGGGAAATTGGAGCCTGAGGATCGGGGCAACAACTTTCTGTAAGTAAATAATAATGGACTGTGCTCCAGAAAAACTTCAATTAGCCTTTAGAATATTAATAAAGTTACTAAAATCTTTTAAGAGTCAGCACAGATGTGAGTTAAAATTCAGGTTACAAGTAAACTCCTCCCTTCTCCTCCCCTTAATTTTGATTCATTAAGCCTGAGTACTCAGGATCTGAATCTGAGCAGCTGGACCAGATGGTTCTTAACAGGATTGTTTGGGAAATACTGCACTAGTCTACTATGAGGAATAAATAGCTTCTTACAGGGACCTAGTTGCCTCTGCTAGCACACCATGTGTGTTCAGTTGCTGTGCTGCTTTTCCTAGTGATAGGAAATGAGTAGACCTTAGGGGAAAATATATATTATATCATATATTATGAATAATACATACATATATATTATATGTCTTATTTAATGTGTGTTATATAATGTGTGTATACTACAAATTGTGTGCATATATGTATATGTATCATTTATTCATTCAGTTTAGACTTTAGGAGGAAATTAAAGATTGACATATCTCTGGTTGGTCTTTGTTTATCATCTTTAAAGACTATCAAGAAATCCACTATAAAATTCTACATCTGGAATATTGCAGGTGGCCAACAATTTTATTGGCCCAACTTAATAACCTCAATGTTTTACCAAATTTGTACAGACTTCCCTATTTTCTTTCGCTATTCTTATACTTCCTTTAAATTATATGTTACATAATACAAATATAATAATATGAATATAATATAAATATAATTACATGACATAGATATAATTACAAGATTCTTTTTTTTTTTTTGGGTCCGGTCATGGGGCCTGAACTCTGGGCCTGGGCACTGTCCCTCAGCTCTTCAGCTCAAGGCTAGCGCTCTACCACTTGAGCCACAGCGCCACTTCCGGCTTTTTTCTTTTTGCTTATGTGGTGCTGAGGAATCGAACCCAGGGCCTCAGGCATGCAAGGCAAGCGCTTTAACCACTGAGCCACCTTCCCAGCCCCAAGATTCTTTTATATGTATTTTTTCCATTTAGGTCTCACAATAATATTTGAAACCACACCAGGAGTTATGCTATTTTATCAATTTAAAACTTAAACTTTGGGTCTGGTGCTCCTATAAAAATACAGATGGCACACCAATAACCTATGTTCTTCTTCAAGTATTATGAGCCCTGAAATTTCCAAACTATTTGAATGTGTTGATTTTAAAGTCATGGAGGTAGAAACTGAGTCCAGAAAAAGGTAGGCAGGATGCTCTTTATGAGAAAATGTGACTCAAGAGCAGTGGAAGCTAATATGGCACTAGAGGGCAGAAAGGCTGAGATGGTGCCTAAGAGTAGTCCCTAAAAGACTGTGCCAGCTGTTTTATTCATATCCATATGCAGTTATTAGGTGCACTTAATAAACTTTCACCATGGCAATAGCCATATGAGAATATTGAATTTTTTTTCAGATAGATTTAGCTGCCAAAAAAAAAAAAAGGAAAACTATTAAGATTAGTGCTGTGGCCCAAAGTCAAAGTTTTAACTCTATGAAGAAGGAGGATTTCTGTTGTTTCAAACTAAATTGAGTTCTTTCAGAAGTTAGTTCAATAAACCTTTTACCTTTTCTTTCTCTAATATGCCCATTATTTTTCACACAACAGGATCTTCAGAAGCAGACTGGAAAGCCGGAAAGCCCAGCGACCCTCTGCATCACAGGCCTCCACTCGCTCCCCTTGCATGCCTTTCTTGTGGTTTAATGAAAGTCGGAAAGGATCCTATTCCTTCGGGAACCTGCCTTCACCTACCAATCCCCTTCAGCCTTCTCCTGAGACTCTAATTTCAGATAAAACTGGGTCCAAGGTAGAAAAAAAAGCAAACAAGAAAAATCCCTCTTCCTCTTCAGTCTTTTGGAAGACATTCTCCACTTGTGTGTGTCCTCTGGATTCAAGGAACCAAAGTGCTAACCTTGCAATAAGCAATGCATGGTGTTTCTTCTGTGGGGGAAAGGAAAACCTCACATAACCATCACCTGCTTTAATACTGTTCATTCTAGATTGTATATGTCTCTGATTTGCCTGTCTTTTCACCTACTTCTGTTTAATCTGTTTGACAGCGATGCCATGCTGGGAAAGAAGCATTTGAATCATGAAATAGTATGATAGATCTGTTTACTAAGTATTCTGCTTTCAGTTGCCTTATGAAACTATTTCACTGTGCTCTTCAAGATTTGCCAGAAAACATAAATTTGGGACTGAATTTGTGTTTGATCACCTAAGTGAACCTCATTAAAACATACATAGCCCCTTAATTTATTCCTTCTTTTCATATCAAATGTCCGTGCTAAATAGCTGTTGTAATTTTGTCATGACGTTTGTTCAAACTTCACCAGGAAGAATTAGGAACTGAATGCATGGATGTAATTTGTTTGGAAATGCATGATGGTTATTTCCAGCATGACACTGCAAACTTTTTTCTAACATTTTATTGATATTCAAATGATAGCTAACTTTCTTACATTGTTAACTCTTTTTTCTGTGTTCACTTTTCTTTCTCACACAGAGCAGGATTAATCTTACTTAAATATAATTATTTTCTTGAGGTCAGCTGTTCAAAGGGTTTAACTGGGGAGTGGGGGCTGGGGTAATGTTTCCACTGATAATACTACATGGTGCTATTCGTGATATTCTGTGTGCAGTGACCTGCTGCGTAAGTGCTCGACTGCTCTAGAAAGGATCCTAATGGGAAATTAACAGTCTACCTCCTGGGAAGTAGAATCTGAAACAAGATGGTGTTGGCCAAGCTCTTAGAGTTCCTGGGAATCCAGACATTCTACAATTGTTAGCAAAAGAAATTTTCACAGCAATAAACCTTTTAATATCCGAACTAAGACATCTGAATGTTGCTGGAATACTTTTGCTGTTATCCTGTCCTAAAGAGAATCCAAACTGGGTTAAAACAATTTTCATAAATATATCAGGGTTAAATAATTTTAATATCCACTGAATGTGTCAGAGCAGTTCCAGGGAAGGTTTTTTGTTTTTGTTTTTAACACGCTCCACCTTATACATCTCCCCATCCTCAGGTGATTGGTGGGATTTGTATCTCTTCTGTGCAACAGCCTTTTTGGTTGTCTGTTGGTGCTATAAGAGAGTTGAGTTCCAATATGTAACTAGAAGTGCATCACCAGATCTGCCCTGCCCCAGAACTCATTGTCATGAAGGGTACCTCTAAGAGACCATCTGTCACTTCTTACAGTATATCATTGCCACACACACACAAACACACCATCCATCCCAAGGGTGCTTCGGCTACTTCCCTGATATGAATTGCCACCTGTTCCTAATAATTCAGCCTCTCCACATCATCTCATGTTCTTACTTAACACTGCTGCTCATCATGATTTGGGTCAAGGCAGATAGGCTTATTAATATCACTTCTCTGAGCAGCTGCAGAGGATAATAAATTCTATACCCTTGGAGTAAGATTGAAGAATCATTTCTCTAAAATATCTACTGCTTATCAGATGGAGAAAGTATCTAGAATTCCCCCATCAACCACAAAAAAAAAATAAAGCATCCTCAACCAATGTCTGGTTGAATGTCATCCAAAACAAAGATGAAATTCTTCTAGGACTGCTAAAAGAGGGACATTTGAGAACTTGTAAACATACCTACCTTTGGTTCACTCATTGTGCTCATTTAACACTGAACATGTATTTATTTATTTATTTTTTACAGAATTTTACCTTCAATGATGACTTCAGTCCCAGTAGTACCAGTTCGGCAGACCTGAGCGGCTTAGGGGTAGAACCCAAAACACCAGGGCTCTCTCAGTCCTTAGCACTGTCATCAGATGAGGTACTTCCATGCAACCACATCAGAATTGCTTTCTCATATCACAGAGTTTACTTATGGCCTGTCACAGGAAACTAACACAGGGTAGATTTTGTGTAAAAGTATCCTCAATTATGGTTTTGCATATAATACAATGTCTTCTTGCTCAGCGTGAAAGCAAAACCTCTGAGCATCTTAAATTTTTTATGGGTGGAAGTATGTGGTGGGGAGGCTAGGCACTGGAAAGCAAAAATGGCAAACAATTCAGATCACATGGGAGTTGACAAATTATGCATTTCCTTTCTACTTTGCCTCCTTACAATCCTCTATACCCCAAGAGTCTAAAATTCCTTCTGAATATGTTAGGCCATAATTATAGCTCTGATAAAGAAGGAAAATAGTCTCCAAGCCACTTATGCAGAAGCGAGGGTCAAGATTAGCATTGCTAGCTGAGCTCATACCTATAATCCTGGCTACTCAGGAGGCTGAGATCTGAGGATCACAGTAAGAAGCCAGTTTAGGCAGAAATGTCCTCACGACCCTCATCTCCAATTAACTAGCATAGTAAGCCAGAAGTGATGGTATAGTTCAACCTTGAGCAAAAATGCTAAGCAAGAACATGAGGCTGTGAGTTCAAGCCCCAGAAGCAAAAAACAAAACAAAGGAAGATTAGCATTGCTAAGCATTAACTGGAGATAAATTGCCTATAGAGAGAAAGGAAACTACATTAATAACATTATTGACTTAGATCCCAAAGTGGAAGGCAGGAAACCATGTAATTAAGAAAATTTGTTCCCTTACTTAAATATTTGTTAATATTTTTTTTCTTCATAACCTTTCTTTTGTAAAGATTTTTTCTTCCTCATAAACTTTCTGCCCTTATTCTTCAAGTTGAGTATGAGTTTAATATTACAAGTGTGAACTATCTATGCTGTGTGTGCTGTTTCTGTAACACTTTTCTTCTTGATCCCCTTATTGCTGTCACTCAGAGCCTGGATATGATAGATGATGAGGTGAGCCATCGGGCTGTGTGTGGTACTTGGATGTCTGAGCTAGCTTTTATAAAACAATACAAGAATTCTTTTCTCTATTGTGGGAGGACATCCTATGTTAATTAGCTCCACTCCGCCATATTTGCATCATAGCAAAAAGTTGCTCCTCGATTTATCTGCCATCACCATTACATTGACATGATCCATTCTGTATCATCGCCTCTGCCTGCATCTCAGCATACCCCATCCCTTCTTCTGTGTTCCTCACAGGTGTCACCAAGGTGACTCCTGTCTCTTCCAAGGCCTGTCATTGCTTCATGCCCTCAGAATTCAGTGGGTCTAGGAGCTATCCTGCCCCTTTGTACTATTAAAAGGAATATTCTACAGTGGACAGAGCCTGAAATTTGAAATAAACCACTTACAGTTAAGCCCTGCCACCTGTTCACTGTGTTGTCTTGGACAGATCATGTAGACTTTCTGGGCCTCAGTTTTATTTATGTACTAAAAAAAATTACGGATATTCTTGCTCCACCTTTCTCACAGGTTGTGAAAATTAATGGTTGTGAAATTTTCCTGAAGATGGCTTATGGGCTTCATGCTCTCCTCTTCCAAGTGAAAAAGGCCTCCAAAAATCGACTGTGTTTTAATAAAACTCTAATGTCCTGGCAGAGGATAAATGCAGAGTGATGCCTTGCATGCAGAGATCTATGAATTTTCCCTTTTTATACCTGATAATATATCTAGAGTGTTCTAATGTAAAAGCTTGCAACATTAGAGTGTATTTTTTGCAACAGTAAACTTCCTACATTAACAATTATGCTTTATTTAGGGGATTTTTAAATTTACATTTCAGACAATGTAGATACTCTGTTTCTTTTTAACACAACTTGAACCATTATCATATTAAGTATGGCTCTAGTAGGTTATCAACTACCTTTTGCTAGCATAATAATGAGCCATGGCACTTTAGTCCTTTAACAATGCGTAACATTCCTATCTCAGATCCTTGATGATGGCCAGTCTCCCAAACACAGTCAGTGTCCGAATCGGGCCGTTCATGAATGGAGTGTGCAGCAGGTTTCTCACTGGTTAATGAGCCTAAATCTGGAGCAGTACGTATCTGAATTCAGTGCCCAAAACATCACTGGAGAGCAGCTCTTGCAGTTGGATGGAAATAAACTTAAGGTAAAGAATTATATATCTGTGTTAGGTTACTAAGTATAATTTGCATTACTCGACACCTAAACTGTTTTCATTAGGTACTTGCACTCTGCATACCTGACCTATAATTCTCATCAACAGCAGAAAGGATGATGAATTCTTTCTGAATAGGAAATTAAGTTTCAGGAAGTCCCTCAAGGGTTCTGAATTAAATGGTAATCTGCTGATTAGGAGAGAGCTAGGATCCCACTCCATTGCTTCACCTGGCAACACATGGCCCATATATTAACTCTATTTATTTCACATGTAGTATGAGTTGTATTGATGGCTCATGTGGACCCTTCATCACATTTGTTAAGATGCAGGCCCTGACTCCTCCCTTCCTTACTCATTTCTTCTTCATGTCTCTTCTTCCCTACATACCATTCCAAAATGGACTGATACTCTTTCCAGAACTTTCTTTCCCAAATATATTCAAGGCCATATCTTCCTTACCCTCCATCACACTCTCATTCCCACACATCCAGCCCATCTCTTAAGAGACTGGCATGGCACCTATCCTGTGGAAAAAGGCAAAAGGAGCATATAGTCAGCTCCACCACCCCTCCCCACTGTCCCAAACCCCTGTGAGGCTGACGGGTAGATGAGTACCTCTTGACAGTCTGGAAAAGGTTAAAGATCAATCAATAGCCTGTGAATATGAAGGCCTCATCGACAAGGCTGTCCCTGTTGGGGAGATGGATGCATCCTGCTGTTGATTCTGAAGGTCATGAAACATTTAAAGTATGTAACCAACTCCCCTTATTCTGAATTCCTAGCTCATTGACTAACCTCATTATAATTGGGCTTTCTTTATTGGTCTGCCAACAGAAAGAGAATGGCCAGTCATACTGACACAGTCATTTTGGCCCCAAAGACATTTTTGGTTTTTATTGTAAATGAATACACTGGCAGAAGGGAAGTCATTTCAGTTCTTCCTGCCTTTCTTTGGAGCCCTCTGTAGCAGCAGGTGCTCACTCCTACCCTTTGAAAATATTGATGTGTTTGTAATTATTTTGCCTCTAAATGTCTATGGCCCAAAGGTTGGAGTAGAATCATGCCCTTTTCCAATTCATTTACTCATTAAAAACCAATTTGGAAAGCATTTTCTTAGGTTCTAAGGTATACTTAGAAGGGACTTCAAAGAACAAAGCACAGACTTCCCTCTCCCCTACACATAATTTTTTTTCAGCAAATGAAATCTACTTTCCTTAGTTCTTCCCTTTTTCATCTATATTTAAGTTCATTTATGAGTTTGAACATACTGTGATAGTTACCTCATGAGCAGAAAGGTCATCGGATTTACAAGTTCAGTGTGCATGCTTCCTTCATAGGCTCTTGGAATGACATCATCCCAGGACCGAGCAGTGGTCAAAAAAAAGCTGAAGGAAATGAAGTTGTCTCTGGAGAAGGCACGGAAGGCCCAAGAGAAAATGGAAAAACAAAGAGAAAAGTTGAGGAGGAAAGAACAGGAGCAAATGCACAGGAAGTCCAAAAAGGCTGAAAAGATGACATCCACTGCCACAGAGGGCGCTGGTGAGCAGTGAGTCTCGCCCATTCTGCTGGGTGCTGATGCTCAAGAGAAGTCCCACTTTTTCCTGCCCCATTCTCCTCCAGAGCATGAAGAAGAAATTGACCACAAGGGTAATACTGCTGTAGGCAGATTGAGGAACTGTGTGTTGAATGACTTCATTTTCTGCAATAATGGAATGCACTCTTAATTTTGATCTCCTAAAATAATCCCAAATTGCTTTTGATTTATTGACAAATGAAAGATCTCATTTATGAGAGAGGCAAAGTAGCTGTGATTCTTTCTTCTACTTAAGAACATCTGGAGTGTTGGGTGTGTTGTGCCACTTGGAGGACCAGCATGACCGTACGAGCACAACACACCCTGGTTTGTTAGTGAATTTTCAGTGTGGGACTCTGAAATGGGTCAGTTGCATCTATCTGTGTGAAGAGTGCACTTGCCATGAGCCATAGGAGCCATATTCACTCCCAGGGCTTCTGAGGCTCATCTAGTATGTGGGAAAGGTTCCCCACAATTGTGTGTGGACAGAAAGACAAGCCCACTGTGGAAACTTGAGGGCTCAGCCCAATGATTACCTACTGAGATAAAAAAAAAAGTACATTGTTCTACTATCCATCAGAAAAAGGGGAAAAAGTCATAGTTATCTATGAATTACAAAAGAGAGCAAACGCCTAAGAATGTGGATGTGGGTATGCTTTGAGGTTCTGAGGGTACCATTTCTCCTCCAGCTACTCCTGAATGAAAAAGAAAACGTCATATCTTAAGACAGCTCTGGGGATGCTAGGATCTATTGTTTATTTTGCAACACTGACAAACACAACATGGTTCCTTACTTCCCTCAAATCCACAAACTGAACAGAAAAATGGATTTTTAAGGAAGCCAGCATTTTCAGGTTTCTTCTCCTGGGGAACATTCTGGCTGGGCCTCAGCTTGCCTGTGATACAATCAGGAACTTGTCACACATTTTCTCCTCTCGGTTCCCCAAGTAGGTTCAGTTAGGATTTTAACAAATGTAATTTTAAGGAAAAATAGAAATAGCAGTTAAGGAGATTACAGATTTAAGTAACATTCATCTGAACACACAGAATGTTCCTGTAATGGAGAGCTGTCACTCACATTTTTAGAGGTATTTTGAATGGTTTTTCTGAGACATTCTTTCCTTATACTAGAGGTTTTTGTTTTAGAGTTAAAGTTTGTTTGTTTAAGGCAGTACATCAGATTCACTACCAATGGAAGAACAAAAGCTTATTGTAAATCCGGTATTAAGGATTTCAGTATTTCATCAATCTAAATTGAATGCAGGAGACTGGGGCAGGAAGAGGAGAACATTAACCCATCTTGAGAAATTTCTAATGATGAGGGTTTTTTTTCTCCTTTATCTTTTGTTTTGCTTTTTATGCTCACGTGTCTTTCTTTTTCTGCATTAGCTCTAAAGATGAGGTCATCTACTTTCTAATGGATGGACAAGTGTCAAAGTAAGACTAGAGGCCAGATGAATTCTTGGACAAGTATTTAACTTCCTTTATATTTTATAGGGTCTTGGCTCTGTCCCCCAACACTGCCCATATCTCCACTGCAAGTGTTCTGTTCGCAGAGCTTGGGGACCGCTCTTGAGTATTACAGATAACAGAAATGAAAGAGGTCTCCTGCCCATATAGCCCTACCTTGTATTTTTAACATTGTGATTTTATTGTTCTTATAGTGTAATATCCAAGTTCTGAAACTGTTGGAAATTGAAATTTACAATCCTATTCTTTCCCCACAAGGCCTGTTTCCCATTTTGGATCACAGAGTTGTCTGCTAAGCTCCAATCCTTTTGTCACTAGGTTAGAATCATTCATTCCATTTTCAGAAATGTTCAGGCAGGCTACTATTGTACTTTGCAACATTCAGATCTCTATTATATTTTTCTGTTTTATTTGGGTATGATCCTAAAACTGCCATCCTGGGTACCTGTATCTTGAGATGTTGGTGCTTTGCTATTTATTACTATCGTAAGAAATCAGGAGCTACTGTTAATGAATTACAAAATTCAACAAACTTTTCCTAATGCTAGAAGACAAATTCAGTAAAAATCTGGTAATATTAGTGCTTGCTATGTAAATTTTTGCCAGTTTTGTTTTGCTTTGGATTAAAAAAAACTAACCTGAATTACACTGGAAGTTCCACTGTTTGTTGTATTCATATCAGAAGAGCAAATGGAAGAATGATTATTTTAAGTTATGTTTACATTTGGGTAATATTTGAAAATGAATGTATATATTGAAAATATCCGTTAAGTGTCTGTCTCTACCAATAAGTTATGATCTATTGTATTGCATCTCCTTAAATGTCTTAGTATTGTTCTTTACTATAACTGTATTTGAACACTTGAATAATTAGATCATTGTCCAAATGACAGTGTTGAAAATCACATTCTAATTCCTAAAATCATTTAGTTTATAACTGTTTTGATTTTTTAAATTAAATTATGGTAATTTTAAGCATAAATGAGTTATATTAACATTACTACTTAAAAATACTGAAAGGATTCTTGATTTGATTTTCCAATAGAATATAAGGTATAAACTGACACAGGGTATGAAAACAGATGGACCTCAGATCTTGTAAGCATTTTGCTTTCCTGTTACTTCTTTTATTGACTATAGTGCATGATGACAATTCCTATTTTAATGCTAGTAGTTTTCAGTGTTCATACAATTTAACATGAATTGTTTGTTTCCTGTTTCTTTAAAGATTAGAGATTTTTATTAACAGAAAGGGTCTATATGGTTACTACGAACTATATTCTAGTAAAGGATAGCTCAGTCTGATTCCAACAATAGCTAATGGAGTTTGGGGGTATAGGTAATGCTTTGGAAGGAGAAAGTATGTGGTAAGGTTAAGTTATACACAGAACATTAGATGAGCAATAATTGGATCTGGGTTTCAATTAAAGAATACTATAACTGATTGAGACCATCTCCTTTAAAAGTCCCTCACAGTTATTGTTTCTTATTCTTCTCTTTTCTTTCTTCTTTTCTTCTTTGTCCCTCCTTCCCTCTTTCTTTCATTTGTTTTCTTTCTCATTCATTTGCTTTTTCTTTCCATTCCTTCCTTCCTTCTTTCCTTCCTTCCTTCCTTCCTTCCTTTCTTCCTTCCTTCCTTCCTCCCTCCCTCCCTCCCTCCCTCTCTCCCTCTCTCCCTCCTTCCTTCCTTCCTTCCTTCCTTCCTTCCTTCCTTCCTTCCTTCCTTCCTTCCTTTCTTCCTTCCTTCCTTCCTCCCTCCCTCCCTCCCTCCCTCTCTCCCTCTCTCCCTCCTTCCTTCCTTCCTTCCTTCCTTCCTTCCTTCCTTCCTTCCTTCCTTCCTTCCTTCCTTCCTGTCTTTCTATCTTTTCTTTCTTTCTTTCCCAAAATCAGAACTGTGTTCAAGTGGTCAGTTAGAGCTAAAACCACCCTTTACCTATTTTTAATACTCTGATAAAGTCTCTTTATCACAACAGTGAAGCTATTGTGGCTATCTTACTTCAGCTGCAGTTAGCTCTCCAATTCTCCCACAGCCTTTTTAGCCATAATAGTTCATGATTGCAGTATGACAGCTACTGGTGCCAAATTCAGCTTTCAACTGGCCCAAAATAAGAATATTACTTTGCAATACTTTCTTGTTGGGAACCAAGTCGCAAGAAGAAAAGTAGGGACACTGTCTGTAACCCTGCAGTCATTTATCCTAAAATTCTAAAATACCCCATACCCAAGCCACAATAATGAAAGAATGTGAATTGTTTGATCTTGAAAATCAGCCACTATGACTTTTTATTTCTAGGATTAAAACTCACTGCCTCATGCTTGTTAGGGAAGAACTGCTGAGTCAAACATCCAGCCCTGTTATGCACTGGTTATTTTTAAGATAATGTTTTATTTTCTGTCTGGGTATAATATCTGGACCATAATCTCTATTTAGGCTTCACATCATAGCTAGGATGACAGATACATACCCACAGGCAGATAGGGGTTGCATAGGAGTTTCAGGGGGAACTTTTCTAACTGGACTGGCTTTGAACCACAACACTCCCAATCTCAACCTCCCAAATATGTAGAATTACAGGTAGGAGCCACTGGTGCCTAGCTCTTCTTGACTTTTGCTGATTCCAAAGAATTTTCATAGAAGTTCTTTGTGCAGTAGGATTGACATGTGCTTGAAAATTATACTTTATAAAAGGTAAATGAGCCAGGCACTGGTGGCTCATGCCTGTAATCCTAGCTAGTCAGGAGGCTGAGATCTGAGAATCACAGTTCTAAGCCAGCTGGGGCAGGAAAGTCTATGAGACTCTTATCTTCAATAAACCACTCAGAAAACTGGAAGTGGCACTGTGGCTCAAGTGGTAGAGTGCTAGCCTTGAGCTGAAGAGCTGAGGGACAGCTCCCAAGCCCAGAGTTCAAGCCCCACAACTGAAAAAAAAAACAAAAAGATAAATGAAAATTTGCAGTGTACAGATATTCTAAATTGTCTATAAGCAGGAATTTTTAAAGAGAATAAGCATCAGGAGGACCACTGATTTTTAACAATAGTATTCAGGATAAGTCTGGATAAAGTTCCAACAGTGGTAAAACAGTCTTCTATCCATTGGCTGTGTGATGGCTCTTTTGTTACACTTAGATATTTAAGAATTGCCAAATTCCACTTGAGTAACCACATACTCCCAACAGAGCTAGAAACAAAGAGCACTTCACTGTGGTGGACAGTGGCCACTAGGATTCACATCACCTACTTCAAATGCTGACATCCTGGTGTTCTCTGTGTGAAAAGACAAGCTAGAAATGAAAAGCCCTGCTTCTCTTCTTTTCCAATTTACCTTCAACAGAGTATGCAGTTCTAAAGGTCTGCAGTTAAAGATGAGGTGCAGAAGTAAAATTCCTATTTTCTTACCAGGATTGTTCTCATTATAGTTGGGCAAGCAAGAGTGTGAATTTTCAAAAGAAATCAGTATTATAGGAAAACGGAATGTGCTTCAGTGCTTCATTTTCAAAACAAACCAGTGTGTTGGCATATTTTGTTTGCATTTGTCTTGAGTATTTAAAATCTCAGGAGATAGAGTCTTGATTCAAAACACTGGGGAGGAAGCACTAAACAAAACACATTTTAATAACTTGAAGTAACAGCATAGAATAGGCTGAACTGAGAAGCTACAAGAAAAAGGCTGTAGAATAAATTTCATCCTAGAAAGTAAAAGCAAGTTCTACTTAACCGTAGGAACTTCCTATGCCTCTACCATAGGTCTCTGTATAAATTGAGGGAAAGAATGCTTGTTACTTGAAGGCTCATGTATGTAAGTGCATGGCATGTGACCTATTTCCAGATCCTTAGAGTAAAGAAGGAAAAAAACATGATGCTTCCTAATCCTTGGCTTTACCCAGACCCCAGACAAGTAGGGATTCAGCAATGAATAAAGCAAGGAATAAAACAACAACTGATAACTTCTCAATAGCGTGCATGCCACTTGTGTAGATGTTCAGAACTATAACATGTGAGTGTATCTTCCACCTTACACAGACATTCACTGGAACCACATGGCATAAAATACATTATATATGGAATTTGGTGATGTCAGGTGGAACCCTGAGCTGTAATCATAGCCTTATTGCCACTTTTTGTGTTGTGCATAATTTGAATGGCACATAAATTTTAAGAGATTTTCTTTCATTGTTCTTATTCAATGCACTTATGCTTCTACATGTTTATATATTTTGGCAGAATTGATTTATTAGACACTTGGTATTTTAGTAAGGTAAAATTTCCTCAAATGTTTGGTAAATGTTTTGATGTCAACATTACACCTTTTTAAATTAGAGTTCAGGAGAGATGGTTGCATCTTCAACTGCAAACCTAAATTTTCTTCGCTAAAAATTGCACTATGTGTTTTTGTGTGGTAGCTCACACCTCTGAAATGACATAATCCCTAACTTGGGATGCTCAAGTAACTAACTACTGGCTCTCTGATGGTAATGTTGTCATCGCATGACCATTTATTTACTTCTTATCTTGAATAAGGGCATTTTGATTGTCACCAAAAATAATGCAAGTGGTGTGAGTATATGTTGTTGGATGGTATACTCTTCTATTTCTTTTTGCTGTTTTATTCACGCATCTAGAATTTTCAGTTAAAGATTGAGTCATTTAATCTTTGTTCATTCATGAAACAACAGCTGGCTAAAAATACTTAGAATTACTTACTAAAACGTGGGAAGAGGTTCTTCAGTTAGATAATACCTCCAACAACATCAAATTTAGTTAGTGCTTAGTGAATTTCCTTAAGTACATATGTATCTGCTCTCTTTAATATTGTTTGATATCATAACAACTGCTTTTGTGTTTTAATGGTGTTGCAATTAAACCACTAATACACCTGCTACATATGATTAAGAAGACTGGGCAGCTGAAAACTAAAAGGAGAATAAAATTTTATTCTATTGTAGGAATCCAATTAGTTTTCATCTTTCTTTATATCTCTCTAAAGGAAAACAGTTGTCCGAAAATCATTTTGAATCTGTTAAGTATGGGTAGCATGTTACCTGAAACTTTTAATTTGTACATTTTGATGTCTGAGCATTTGCATGGAAGAGACAATAGTGCCATGTCTGAATTGTTCTCTTGTGCTTGGTCATTATGATGTAACATTATAAATGACATTCATTACTCTTTGGTTTGGTTTCCAAAGGCATTTGAAGCAAAATATAACAGTGGTCCTTTGTTTTATGACCAGTCGAAACATACCTGTGATTACATTTAATTTGTTATTGTAAATACATTTCTTGCCAATGAGTATTATTGTTGTTAGACAACGAATGCAATAAAAAAGAGAAATACAGAGATCTGTCAAAGTAATTCTTTTTTCCTCTTCCATTTTCACCTTCAAATAAAACAAGCCTTCACTGGGTAAACCTGTATTAACTGTCAAAACATATCTATCAATCAAGAGCAAAGTGCACATTTTTCATGGAAATGAAACTAAAAATAAGTTTTAACTCAGGTAAAGTGTAAATTGTCAGCTAGAATTACACTTGAAAGCCCAATTATGGAACTGGGCATAAAGTTAAAAGATCAAAGCCCTTCAATTGGAGTTACCTAATACTTGCCCATGTTTTTGGTCCCCAGTTGCTGCGTCACATCGGTACCAAGAAGCCAGGAAAAGGTCTGTGACAAGTCCATTAAGCAGTCGTCCCCACAGAGTGAGGGATGAGCTAGGAAAGCCTCCGACCCATCCTGAAACTCAGGGTTATTTTCAACAATCTTGTTTCTAAGACCATCAAAATTCAGAAGACTTGGACATAACGAATGAATAACATTAATTTCATTCTTTCTTACTGGCAAACTACATCTGTTATTAAACCTTTGGCATAACAAGATTTTGAATAAATGAAGCCTGGATTCCTCATTCTTTGATTTCTTACCAAAGGGTGTTGCTTTTTGAGTGATCTTGAATGTATGCTATGTGAAATCCAGAGAGTTCTTTTTATTTTTTTCACAATCTGCTTAGGAATAACAAGAAAGTAAAACCGATTATTTTATTACAGATGTTATGGAGGCTTACTCAAGAGATTCTCTTCAGTGGCTCACACCTGTAATCCTAGCTACTCAAGAGGCTGAGATCTGAGAATCAAGGTTCAAAGCCAGCCCAGGCAGGAAAGTGTGTGAGACTCTTATCTCCAATAAACCACTAGAAAACTGGAAGTGGCGCTGTAGCTCAAGCGGTAGAGCGCTCACCTTGAGCTGAAGAGCTGAGGGACAGCGCCCAGGCCCAGAGTTCAAGCCCCACGACTACCACCACCAACAACAAAAAATACATGAGATTGGATTTTTTTTCTGCACTACACTCATTGATCATTATCAGCAACATCTCAGTGTCTAGCTTCCTGGATTGGGAATACAACCATCACTGAATCATTAAGCACCTAGAGCAATCCGACGTTGTGTATTGAACTGTGACTAAAATAATTTGACTCTTGAGAAAAGGTAGCCCTTTTTTTTTCTTGCTACTTTGAAAGAGAGGTTTTAAATAGGAGTTCTCAACTTATCAGCAAACATTTTCCCCTAAAGGGCAAAACAAAATAGAAATGACCTCCCTGCCTGGTGCCAGTGGCTCTCGTCTATAATCCTAGCTGCTCAGGAGGCTGAGGTCTGAGGATCATGGTTTGATCCAGGCAGGAAAGTTTTGTGAGACTCATCTCCAATTAGCCACCAGAAAACCAGAAGTGGCACTGTGGCTCAAGTGGTAGAGCACTAGCCTTGAGCTAGTGCCCAGGCCCAGAGTTCAAGCCCACCACCGACAAAAGAAAAAAAAAACTAAGGAAAGAAAGAAAGAATGGACCACCTTAATGTCCCAAAGGAATAACCCATTATTTCAATCCTATCTTCAAAACAGACAAATAACAGCAGGTAACCTCTTTCTATTGGTATACATAACCAAATGATAGTCTTGTTTTTTCCTAGTCATGTCCCTCAGGAGATAACTAAAGATGTTATTAGTCTTTTTGATTTTTGAATTTTTTTCTATTTTTAATTAGTTAGAATAGGAGAAATAAAAGAGAAAAAGAAAAAACTCCACCTGTACACCTAAACAGCAGCCTACCTAGTCTTCAGTGGACACTTAAAATTACTTGGGTCAATTAAAGGCATTATTTATTCTATATCATCATGGAAATGAGCAGACCTCTTTATCCAAGACTGTGAAACAAAACTGTAATTTATGCCAAGAAATAATTTTAAGGTATAACAACACTCACAAGAATTGTAGGATTGTTTTTCTATATGTTACTGCTACAGGTGGCCAGAAGAAGCCAGGCTTACCAGAGGAAAATGTCTAACACATACATTCAACAGCTTCTCTTGTTGGGTATCTTTGTATACAACCCAGGTCATGTGACTCAGATCTTGAGTGAGGAGGGGTATTGTTGGTGATTCCCAATCTCATCCTCTTTTCTTTTTTTCTTGATGCTGAGAAAGTTTTATTCCATTATCAGAAATGACAAACAGAAGTCCAGAATATTTATGTATGTACCACCACACCTAAATTGCTTTTGTGGACAGAGTCACAAGAATTTTTTGCACAGCTGACCCTGAACCTCTCATCCTCTTTTCTGAACAAGGAAAAGCAAAGCAGCCATATAAAAACATGCTTAATGCATGTCTCCAGAAAGTACTTTTGTAATCACATGCAGTTAAATTATTTAAGACTTGACAATTGGTATATTGAGCCATTTTAATGAAAAGGGTTTCTAATTGGTAAGGGAGGTTTTCAAGTTTTCCATGATTGATTTGACAACATGCTCTCAAAAAATCCTTTCTCAAGTTCTCCTCCCTGCCAAGGGCACCCTCATGCCTCCTAATTATTATGTTAAATTATATTTCCCAATGGGCCAGATCTCAAATTTAACTGGGATCACTGTGGCCCTTTAGATCATGAGAAGAGGCTGTCAGAGCTCACAGTACAGAGCTTTATGGAACACAGTGCCAATCAGCAGCTTCCCTTTGTACACAGAGGCGACCGTGCTCCCCTGCAACACGGTGCCATTTTCCGCATAAACCACAGTCACTTTGGGTTCTTCTGTTAAAATGTTCTGGATTCGAAGCACCTATCAAAAAAAAATAACATTAATCAACTGTAAGCACAATCAGATCATTTCTCCAGAAGAAGGCATCTATTCCCTCATATAAAAATATATTTTTTGTTCTCTCCCATCTCTCCTGGAGAAGAAAGATGGAAGGGGTGACATTAATCGAGATGCATAAAATGTCATAAAATGACCTGTTGAATTAAAATCCTTTGTACAACTACTTATAGATAAAAAGATATGTATGTGTATATATATATATATATATATATATATACATACGTGGCATAAATTGTATTTGTTCCAAAATTACTGTATGTTTACGATACCATTTTGCTCATGGTAAACTGATAGGCTTTGCTCACAGGATCTTTAACAAAAAGCAGAGGGCACATAGATCCACAGGTATAGGCAGGAAATGCAAGTGAGCAACTCAACCCTGGCACAGGTATTAAGGAACAGTGGGGACAATGGTAAATTCAGAGTGGAGGAAAGCCTTTTACTCAGCCATAGCCAAATGGCTGCCACATTGAAGTTCGGGCCTGTTACTGAATATGTTTGTAATTTAATTTTCATTTCTTTGCTGTTACTGTTGGTTTTGGTTTTTCTTCTTTTTTATTTATTTGTTTATTTTTGGTGGTGGTGGTGTTATTTTGGTTTTGGTTTTATAGAAAATATCTCACACATGGCCCAGTCTGGGCTCAAACTCACCATCTTTTCTTCATTTTAAAGTGCTTGGAATACCACAGACAAAGACAACCATAGAAGGCAATTTCTGGTGTGTGTGTGTGTGTGTGTGTGTGTGTGTGTGTGTGTGTGTGTGTGTGTGTGCGTGTGTGTGTTGGGAGGGGGTGATTTTCTTTAGGGGCAGGCAAAGAAAACAAAGCATGGCCCTTCACCACCAAAAGCTTAATACTCCTTCCTCTATAGCCCAGATACATACTTCTGAACTTCAAACTTCCACTTCTAACTGGGTAAGATTTCTTAACTTCAATATTCTTCATTTAGTTGAATTTTTATTACAACATTCATAAATGAAAGAGTTAATATGTGTTTATTCCCATTGTATATGCTACAACCTAATATGGAAGTCATATGCTTGTATTTGTTTCTCATCTGTACAAGAAGATGGGTGAGACTAGATTATTCCTAAATTCCTTTTCAACTAGAATAAAATACTGACTTGAAGAAAGGATACCATCACTAAATTCCAAATACTCCAGTCTAGGAAGGCCAATACTTAGATATAAAGTGTAAGTTGGAGCAATCAACATGACCTCTTGAACACAGATGGTTCCAAAGACACATGGTTTAGGAAACTGCTGCAACCTTAATATGCAATCGTTTTTTAGAAAGAAATAGTTGGTGATGCACCTTGGCTTAATTAAGTTGCTTGTTCATAATGCTAGAATATTCTTCTGTGCAGTAGCACATTACATAATGGATTGTTATTTCCCTTTGCTCTTCCTTACCAAATTCATCATTAGAAAGGAAATATTTTTCCAGAACAATAAACCAAGTCCCTTGCTATATAGCAAATGACCCAAGTTCACCACATGAGCTAACAAGCAAGAACAAATTATAATCGAACATTCTGCTCAGTTCTATACAGTGAACATTCTGCTGCATGTATTTCTCCAATTCTATTAAATATACAGTTCAGTGATCTGAAAAGCTAAAAAGTAGCAAGAGGAAAAAAGATTGCCATTAAACGTGATCATAAAGTATGTATGAGAGTTAGAAATACACATTTGATTTTTTAATACAAGAGACACAGGACTTCTTTGTGTGCTTTTGGGTGAATAATTCTTAAAACTATACTTTAAAAGTACTCCACAGAAGCCAGGCTTACACCTGTAATCCTAGCCACTTAAGAGGCTGAGCTCTGAAAATCATGGTTCAAAGTCATCCCAGGTAGGAAAGTCTGAGACTTTTATTTTGAATTAGCCACCAAAAGCTAGAAGTGGAACTGTGGCCCAAGGAGTAAAGCACTATCCTTAAGCAAAAAACAAAAAAACCCAACTCAATAACAACATCTAGGCTGTGAGTTCAAGTCCTAGGACTGGCACACACACACACACAAATACTCCACAGAGATAAATGTGTCAAAATTATATCAAATATTTGATGTAAATAACCAGTTTAAATAATACATATTAAAAATTAAAAACTCAAAGTAGAAAGAGCAAGATAAGGCATGAGAAACATTCAACTGCCTATAGAAGAGTAGACTTCATATTCTTACTATTTGCACTGCAGAATTACCTACCGAATAAAGACTGTGAGTCAAAAAGCAGGGGGTTCGGGAGGTCTTTGAATATTTTGTTTAAGATGGAAGAAGAGTCTTGTAAACTTAAATATTTTCCAGTAAGTGAATTATCTCCAGTTCACAGGGCTGTCTAGAGAGGAGAGACAATCCCATTGTAGGACTGGCTTGTCTTATTGCTTTATGCATATAGTCAGCCCTCTGTATCTGTGGGTTCCACATATGCAAAACCAACCAACCCCAGATAGAAAATATTTGGGGAAAAAATTTGTCTGTATTGAGCACATAATGAATACATTGTGACCTATTTACGGATTTTTACATTATGTTTGGCATTACAAGTAATAAAAAGTGGTTTAAAGTATATGGAAGAACATGTAGGTAATAGCAAATTCTTTGGCATTGTATACAGAAGAGTTGAGTTTCTTTGGATTTCGCATCCATTGGGGTCCTGGAACCAATCCACCACAGACACTGAGGGGGCTGTACTAACTGTATTCTAATGCAGGTAACAAATGAATGGCTAAACCACTGCAGTGTGGCATCATTATGATCTTTAAGCTATTGTGATTTCTTAATTTGGAGAGACCTGCTACTTATGTAATGGTATGGGCAACATCGAAGGGTTCATCTACACAATCTAGCCCTGCAGATCTGTGCTTCCCTCTGCTCTGACTTACACCAAAGCCTGTTTTAATGGGGGCCTCCTGGGCACTCTGCCCCTTATATCAGCAGAAGGAATGGAAGGACTCAGGGTATGGGATATTTACACCCCAGCTTTCCTTTCTGTGGTGTCACTGTTGTTTGGCTCCATCCCTCACACAACCAGTGGCTAGGTCACTCTTAGAAGTGCCACACACCACTTCCTTCTCTTCCAATGCTAGAAATCCATCTCAGGTCCTTACAACATGCTCAGAAAACACCCTACCACAGAACTACATCCCCACCCAATCTTCCAGCCTTGAGTTACTGAATTATCCCAGATGAAATGTCTTATCTGTTTCCTCTCTAGCCTCTAAAACTCTTTTTATCTCTGATCATTTGGATGATCTGCTCATAGCTCCTCATTTGTTTGCATATATAAGAGAGAATTATATTTCGGCTGACAGCAAAGTCACTGATCAGGTACATTTTTCAAACTAACCTCTGAGCCAGGAGGATTCTCTGGATCATAGGAGAAGATCTTCGCACCATTGGGATGACAACCCACCCAAAGATCCCCTGTTGCTGGATCCACTGAAAGGTTATCCACGAGGGTGTCAAAGGCCAGGGACTACCAAGATGAAGAGAACACAAAGCAGAAGGTGAGAAAAAAAATGAGAGGATGGGGTGTGGCAACATGTCAAGGAAAGAGCTTGTACTAATGCTGGCCATCATACTGTGATCGCAGAGACACAATAGTGACTCATTTCAATTGTACTTAGGGAATTCTGCTGGCCTTCCATCTTCGTTAGTATTTTGTTCATCTGTTGGTTTCCATAACACATAGTGGAGGGGAGGAGATTCCGAAAGCAAAGAAAGACTGTTAAATGTTAAATGAAATCATTGGCCCTAACATGTGTGCATGAACCTAAAACTAAAACTAAAAATAAATACAAATAAAACTGTTAAGTACAACATAAAGCAGTTCCTTTTAAGTGGCATGTGCAAATGATATTTTTATAAACATCTGGAAAAAACAACCTGGAAGCATAGATGTGTTTCTGACAGGAACGCAGATGAAATGTAGACTCTTTTATAACTAATCATAGGCTGTGTAGCCAAAGAAGAAATGATCACCCAGGGTCTAATTTTTCCCTTCAAGTGGAGGCAAAGTTTGTTCTTTAGTTTCCTGATGATATTCAGCTCCCTGTTCCTCTGCTGTTTATTCTCTAAATATAAGTTGCAAGTGTGTGATGACTGCACAGATTGCTGTCGAGGCTTTATACCAGCATCATAAATAATACCAATGATTCTTAATTCCACCATTCATCATCCTGGCTGCCTTCTACCAGAAAAAAATCTCATCTATTTGTTTGCCTTTAACTCTCACCAGAGAAACAATATGTGTGGTATACCTCAGAATCCACAGACCTCGTGCCCTGGGACCCTGAGGTTTCTGCAAAGGCCCTTGCACGGGCAGGCAGCTGCGATGAGCCACCGCTGCCCTCTGCTTCCTACTCAAAATGAGAGCTGTCCCCACACATGGCCTTCATTCCCTGTCCTGGAAACAAGCAGTGCTGCGAACCTCGATTGGTCAAATTCTGCCCCTGGCTTAATCCTTCCTTCTCCCTCATTCTCATCCACCTGGATTCAAACTCAATCCTCTCATATATTAGACTTGTGTGTGTGTGTGTGTATGTGTGCATGTGCGTGCATTTGCATGCATATACACTTCAGTACCTGGGGCTTGAACTCAGAATTTCGTGCTTTCCCTTAGCTTTCTCAGTCAAGACTGGTGCTTGATCACTTGAGCTATACTGCCACTTCTGGCTTTTTATTGGTCAGTTAGAGATAAGAAGAGTCTTCTAGGTTTATCTTCCCAGGTTAGATTTGAACTGAGATCCACAGATCTAGCCTCCTGAGTAGCTAGGACTGTACAGGTGTGGGTCAACCTTGTGGAGGGACATTAGCTTTATCTTTAAGTGAGGAAAATGAGGATTCTGTTATTGCCCATAGAAGCAGCACAAATACTGGTGAATTCCATGATGGTGAAAGCCTGCTGAGAAAAGTGCAGGAGGACACAAAAGAAGAGGTCCTATCTATTCACGTTGATTGCATTCCTCTTCTGTGCTCTGCAAGCAGTTCAACCCATCAACTAGAAACTGCAGGGTTCCTGGAAGGCATGGCCCTGGCCAATGAAGAGCTCGTGGTCCAGTGGGGCTTGTAGATCTTGTAGAAGTGAACCCTGTTTTGCATATATGTCATTTCTAGCAATGCAACTCATTATAATAGGTATGTGTCACATATCACACATCTACAAAGACAAATGATTGGAAGTGCTGTGGCCCAAGTGGTAGAGCACTTGCCTTGAGCTGAAGAGCTGAGGGACTGTGCCCAGGCCTAGAGTTCAAGCCCCATGACTGACAAAAATAATAATAATGTATACAAAGACAAATGAAAGATAGTATAGAAACTTAGTATATTATAGTCTCTGTAGGAGAAGCTGTAATTTTTAAAGAAATTTTGTGCTAGTCCTAAAGTTTGAACTCAGATTCTAGGTGCTATCCCTGAGCTTTTTTACTTAAGACTAATGCTTTACCACTTGAGCTATAGCTCCACTTCTGGCTTTTCGGTTGTTAATCAGAGATAAGAGTCTCGTGGAACTTACTGCCAGTGCTGGCTTCAAACTGCAATCCTCACATCACAGCTTCCCAAGCAACTAGGATTACAGGCTTGAGCCACTTATGCCCACTGAGAAGCTATATTCTCTGTTGAAAAAATATTCCAATTTTTAGATATTCCAATTTTTAGAGTCAAGACTCACTGAAATGGATTCACTGACTAAAGAAAGTAGCATTATTTTTTACTGTATTAAAACATATTTCATATAAAATTTGCCATTAACCATAGCTAAAATTCAATGGCATCAAATGTGTTTGTAATATTATACAACCACCATCACCATATCTAGAACTTAATCATCCCAAACAGAACCCCATGAACCATTAACATGAACCTACAGCTCCTCATCCCTTTTTCCATTTAACTTATTATAACTAACATCTTACACTTTTTATGAATGTGCCTCTTCTAGAATCATAATATCTATCCTTTGGTGTCTGATATACTTAGCAAAACGTCTTTAAGGTTTATCCAAGTCTTGGTGCTGCTTCAGGTTGAATAATATTCTATTGTACAGAAATTGTACATTTGGCAGACCATCAACTCATTCACCCCATCATAAATTTCTACAACTAGCCTCAGCTAATTTATCCAATTGCTTGGCACTCAGAGGTATTAATTAACTAATGTTAATTAAAGGTCTTTAAAGAAAAGAACTTCATTACATTTGGTAGGGGTGGCTTCTACTGGATTAGTTGTTAAGGTGAAAGAAGAGTGTAATCTGCTGCCAAAGTGAGAACCAAGTATGAAATAAGCCTTGCCTGGAAGCTTTCCTTGGTAGGAACAGAGCCCTGGCATTGTAAGTAGAATGTACATTGCATTGAATTCTATCATAATTGTTTTTAAAATTTGCAACGCACATCTGTTACTATAACCAGTTTGTTTGTTTTTTTATTCCCTCAGCCTGTATGAGTATATGAAATGTCATTTTATTTCGGCTAATACCAGCCAGACCTGCCAATGATTTCTAACATCAAACATGATGTTACATTTGATACTGCTTTGAGGTAATTTTCTCTGAATGAAGCCCCTAGTGACAGCACCTTGGGTATGCTGACTGGAACAGTCATACATTGGCCCTGACAGTGCATTGTGCTAGGGTTGTGTGTGGCAGCGGCATGATGGCCTGTGCCTTGCGTCATGCTCCTCTCTGCTCTTGGTCTCTCCTTCCTCTCCTTGTGTTTCTGCTCTTTTCTACCCAAATCTTCAGCCTGGACCAGAACTACGGGGCCCAAAAGTGAATCCTTGATGCAAGCCTGGTCCTGCTATAGTAATTAAGCAAGTCTACTAGGTGCTGGGAACTATTCCAGGAACAAATAGAAAAAAAAAAAAAAAAACTCTGTCCTGATGATGCATAGACCCTCATGGGGGAGTCAGATAATAAAGAGGACAATTAAAATGCATTGATTGATCATCCATGCAGAAAGCAAAAGTAAACTGGTAAAAAAGATAGGAAATAAATGTAGAGGGCTGGGGAAACAAAATTGCGAACAGTTTCAGTGGTGAGAAAAAGAGAAAGCAATGGAGATCTGGAGGACGCTGGTTATACGCAGAGGTCACAGCACTCATCCTGGGGCAAGACCAAGCCCAGGAAGCTCCAGGAACACTCCAAAGCAAGAAGGCAGACAGATGATGGGCACCCAGGTTACACTGTCATAGTGAGAACATAACCTTAATATATATATTGTAGAGAAGTTCTATATTAAACCCAAATAGACTATTTTCTGGGCTACTCCTTCAACATAGATGGGGGTAGGAAGTAAAACAGAGACAGGAGGAGGAGAAGGCACTTACGAAGACAATTCAAGCGTACAATTCAACTTAGCAAAAGGAAGCAGATTCACAGGTGAACCTGAGGGCTACTGCTGTTTCTCACTCTGCTGGGGAGGACAAGCATACAACAAACACCTAACAATGCAGAGACTCTTACTAAGGGAGTGAAAAATTGGTTCTCACACACTCCAATTAGACAAGCCTTTTCTCTTCACTTTTAATTTCACAAATCAATTAGAAATCTAATTATCACCCTGAAAACTTATAGTGTTAATACATCTTACCTTCAATGGAGTTAAAGTCCAATTAGCGTGCTTTTCATACACATGAATCTTATGAGCCAAGAATTCAGCTATATAGACATACCTTCAAAGAAGAAAGCGTTCCGTCAAACTGCTTGAAAGATCACAATCTAAAAGGTTATAGTGAATTGTATTAACTCTTTCTAGTCAGGAAGATTTCATACAGACTGAAGAATGAAACCCATCTCAAAGCACATTAAACTCTAAAGAGCTCAATGAGTTTACAGTGTATAAAGAGATTTAATCTCTGAAGAGGTATTCTTTAAGATAGCCAACTACTTATCCCTGATCCAGAACTTAACTCTGACACCTGTTCTTAATATGAATTATTAACAAGGCTTTGGGTTATCAATGTAGGAGTAAGCCCCAGGTATTGTATTTCAGAACAGTGAGTTCTCTCTTGGGGAACAGTCGGTAAAGCTTCTTGACCACAGTCTCTTGTTTTAGGCTGGAGGAAATATGAGAGACAATAAGATGCTTGGCCCACATAGCGAGAATTCTTCTTCCCCTCCTGCCGAGAGCATGAGCCCAAGCCAGCAGATTCAGTATTTTGCACAGAATGCAATACCACACATCATAAAGAGTCCTACTTAGGCTAAGCTCAGTGTGTCTCAGAACTAAAAGAAAAATGATGGCTTGATTATTTTCTATTTTTAAGGACCAGAAGACAATATGAAGAATAAGAAGTTGTGCATGTTGTTTTTTGTGCAAGTGTACTTCTCTGAAATCCTTGCTTATAGAAGACTGGGAAGGGTATGGTGCTCAGATCAAAGCTGATCTTTGAATTGCTTGTTGGAAGACCATCAGAACACAATATTGTAAATGAAGTGCAGCATTAAACACACTACTGAATGAATGAAGCTGACTCTTTCATAGTAAGGCCTTCTTAATGAAGGAAGCAGTGTTTCCTTGGCTATCATCAGGGCAAGCCCCTTTTGTTCCAGACTGGCACTGCACACTCACCCTGGTAATCTCATTGCACACCCAGAAATATTTCTTCAAAACAAAAGATGGTAATACTAAATGTTTATCACAGTTTCCCCTGTTGAAATGTACTTTGTCCTCACGTGGAAATGCAATTTTCTTTCACAAAATAGAAACTTTTAATTTGATAAATTTTATCTCCTGAAAATGAAGGTAGTTTATATTTTTCCTAATTTCCTCTTGGAAGGATAACACATTAGAGTGCAATCACTTTCCTTGGTGAAAGACTATGTTCTAAACCATCAAATGAGAATACAACCACTTCATTTTAAATTGTACACATACTTGCTATCAGGTGAAATGCTTATTCCATTTGCAAAATCAAATCCTTCTGCCACCACTTGAACTTTATCTGGACTGTAGAAAACAACATAGGACCACGCCAAACCCAAGTATACCTCCCAGGATCGTAAATATGAATCAGTAAAGAAGTGGTCATTTGTTGCATAAAAGTGCTCAGGTCCTACAGCAACAATATCATTCACACTGCAATTAAAACAAACAATACATGTAAGCGAAGGTAGTGCAATTATACCATTATGGACTAAACATTAATGTCAAGATATGAGATAGTACCTTTATATTAGCTGTAATAGCACAGAATTAATATGAAGCCAATCCTAACTATGCAATCCTAAAAGGAAATAATACATAATTATAGCACTGCAATATAAAAATCTTATTATATATCTTTAAAAATCCTATTACATATCTTATGTATATCTTTAAAAAGCATTATATATATATATATCTTACATACATATCCTATCTTTAAACCATATATATGTATATAGAGAGAAAGCATGTATGTAGCCATACTAAATTCAGTAGACATTAAATTATAGCAGAACACAATAGATTTAATCACATGGAATCAACTCCTCCCAACCCAAGACATCTTAAGCCCATGGACAACCATTGGAGTGACAATGTGGAGACTTTCAAGCTTTGCTACTGTTATATATGATTTAGGGAAAATCAGTCTTCTCACATGTTGGCCTTCAGTTCTTTATCTGTGAAAAGAGGATGATAGACTGGTCCATTTTCCAGGCTTAAAGTTTTGTGCTTCATAACGGGAATTAAAAAAAAAAAGTTCATGAACAGCTCAGAAATAAGATGCTTGGCCTTTTTTTTTTTCTTTTTGATTAGGATTCTGACTGTTGCTGGAAATGTAAGATATATGAGTCTATTTTTCTGCTTTAATAGGTACAATAGCAAACACATAAGTGAGTCATTGCTTGCTGATTGAGGTGACGGAAGTTCCCTGGGGCCATGATCAGAGAGAAAATTATCTTTGCTCTATTGCTGAGTGCATAATGGCCACTGCGTCAGCTCTGACGCAGCTCCGGCTCTAGGGCGATGGAGACAAACACGCAGATTTTCACTTTTCTCATCTGTAAAGGGAGGTCAAATGATTTCTTCCCCCAAAGTCATACAGCTCATCAGTAGAAGCGGAAGAATTGGAATCTTCTAAATGAAGGAGGCGCAGTGGGAATTAGAGTGAGCTAATCCTGCCGTGTGTTTTGCAGGAGGCCCACGCTCCATGTGTGCTGGCCACTGGATCGCTCTTACGGAAGAAAATAGTCTAGAGATTTAGAATTCATCTGCAGTCTTCAGATATAAATCTACAGGCTGGCTTTAGTCTCTTTTTTTAATTAATTAATTAATTTTATTTTATTTGCATATGTATTTGTATTCTCTCTATGTAGTTTTATGAAGTAATTTCAATTTGACGTGTCAGTGATGGAACAATGCGGCTTGATCAATGTTACCCTACTGTCTTTTTGAAAAGTAAATTTCTGAAATCAGTGTGCTTTATTATCACCTGCCTGTTCTTCATAAATTTTTTTTCAGAGAACAATAGCCTTAAAATCTGATGGACTCTGCTTGAACCCTGACCCTACTTTATCTTCACATTGTGGGGCCACAGCAGGTCACTCATCTGTAACACCCTTCCTTGAATCTCAATTTCTGTCTTTACCTCAGAAGGCTGGAATAACAATGGAATGAAATATTGAGTATAAAGGCTTTGGCACTCTGTCTTTCATACAGTAAATGACCAATAACAATGGCTGTGATAGTACTAATAATAACGTGCTTAAATTACCGTAACTTATAGTCATTAGAATATTCATGGTATAAATAGCCATAAAATACAAAGCAACAAATAATGGCTAATCCTTGGGCTAACAGAGCCAAATTCTAGGACACTGTGGCACTATTGTTATTTCCATCTACTTCTATGCTGTCAAAACCTAGGATTTTTTAAAGTGGCCTGTGTGGGTGGGGTAATTGGAGAAACGTATGGACAAACATATGATTTCCCATAGCAACAGTCTCATTCATTAATGAATAATTCATTAATTCATCAAAAATTCATTAATGATACAAAAATATTTTAATTATTTCATGTATTCTAGAGCATAAGCACTGGAATTAAGGTGCTAGGGTTAAAATTCTAGCTGCAGAGCCAGGTGCCAGTAACTCACATTTATAATCCTAGCTACTCAGGAGGCTGAGATCTGAGAATCTCAGTTTCAAGACAGTCTAGGCAGGAAAGTCCTTGAGACTCTTATCTCCAACTCATCACCAAAAAGCTGAGAGTAAAGCTGTTGCTCAGGTGGTAGAGCATTAGCCTTAAGCAAAAGAAGCTCAGGGACAGTGCCTAGGCCCTGAGTTCAAACCCCAGAACAGGTACAGAAAAAAAATCTAGTTGCACCATTTCCTGGCCTTGTCATCTGGGGCAATTTAACATGTACTACAGGCCTTACATTTTTAAAACGTGTATAACAGGTATAATAACAACATCTAATTAGGACTGTATTTATAAAATGTCAATAAAATAATTGGCTTAAATTGGCAATTGCCTACCTGACTTACAGTTTACATCATCATCACCACCATCATCATTGTTATTTTTAACCCAACTACTCTATTTTACATGTCTTCACCTATATTAGATCTAGGTATTCTTTACATGTTTTAAATACTCAAAAGCTTTATTCTCCCTCCCCAATGTGTGTGTGTGTGTGTACGTGCACACGTGTGTGCACGCGCACACACACGTATTGAGTGACTGTGCGAAAACTTTCTTCCACTTCAAATTTGTCCTCTGGATTTTCCCTTATCCTGGGGGTGCAGAAAAAAGACGAAGGTCTTAGTTCCTACCTGGCTACTAATTAGATGGCCAACCTTCATCCAGTGACTCAACTACTCTCCACTCTCGTTTCTTAATCTTCAAAACTTCCAGGTAAATACGGAGAGAAGGGTACACAAATAAGAGAGTGTGTACCTACTCTGTGGAAGGCACTTTGCTAGGGGCAAGCAAAAAGTATGGATCTAGATTTACAAACAAGGTGGTGGCCATATGTTGTACTTAAATGAAACATAGGGTTCTAAAAATATAATTTAGAAGTAAAAATTATTTTGGAGGATGGTGTCCAAAATCCATCATTACCCTCCTAAACAACATGTTCACAAGCCAAGGGAAGAAGCTGGCTTTGTATTGGGTCTTCTTTCACAAACTGTTATATTGTCAAGGAGTGCAGTGTAAAGGTAGGGATTTCCACACATATGTCGTTTTAGTCAGTAGCAATGCCAGAGCGGTAGAAGTAAAGGGGGGAAAGCTGACTTCAGGCCTTCTATGTGATATGGGTTCTGAATTCACAGAAACATCTGAAATGTTGCTTTTTAATATACATAAAAATAATCAAATAAGCTCAAGCTGTGGACTTCAGTGATGAAGCTTGCCTGATTTTTAAATATTAAGCCTGGTCTTAGGGAGGAATAGAATTTTTTTTGTGGGAAAAGCTTGAATAGGGATGCTGAGACCTGAATCACAAACCAGAACCCAAGCAACCTGAGAAACAGGGAGGAAGGGAACTTCTCTGGGAGTCTCAAGTCATCAAACGTTTCTACAGAAGAACATTTAAATGAGTTTGTGGTAACTAGAAAGAAGAATTGAACCTGTCCTGGCCAAAAAAGCAAAGCTGTGTATGAACCATGCTTTACTGCTAAAAGGGAAATTGAAGTATGATTTATCACAGTACTTAGGCAGAAGTTCGTGTCTAATGGTTTTCAGATGCAAAAGTGATTTTTCTCCTTCTTGAAATTTAAACAACTCCACTGTGGTCTTGAAGTTTGGATGGTTCACCACCAGCAGGTACACAGTATTATCTGAGAAAAGATGAAAAACAAAAATTGAAACATTAACAGAACTCTCAGCTGTCGACTTTGTCTCCCAAAAGCAATTTCAACCCACCTCCAACTAATAGTTAGGATGTCAGGCAGATGGAATATTTTCATCTTGTAGAGAAAAGCACATTTATGGTTGTGCCAAAGAAAAGTGGCTAAAGGAAGGACAAGGGGCAGTCTCTAAATCTCAAAACTCTACAGGAGGAAACATATCCTCATTTTAGGAATGGATAAAACTCACTTGAAAATTCAAATGAGCTTGTTAAAGTCTCAGGTTCAAGTAGTTACAGAATTGAAATAAAAAGGATATGAAGATGGGAACCATTAATATGAGAAAGTGAGCTTGAGTATAATTCAGAAAATGTGCAATGATGAATTCCACAAGAACAGCTGAGAGATAGTAGCAAACAGAAGCAGCTTGTGGGTCAGTGGCACAGGAAGGAAGTGGGTCGAAGTGGTCAAGATGTGGTTAGAGTTGGGAAGAGAAAGCAGGTTATGAAAGTCTCTGACATAGTCAATTTGGTATTCTTTAAAACAAAGGATGCTTGCTCATGTAACTGTACTCCCTTTGTACAGTATTTTCACAATAAAAAACTTAATTAAAAATAAATAAAACAAAGCATACAAGGAAGTTTAGCAGATTGAACTAAGAGGCTTGAACAGAAAAGCCAACTAAGATACTTTTTACTCACCTTCTCAGCAAGCATTTGTTTTGGTATAAAATGCTACAAAGGAACCAGGAAATGGCTTAAAGAAGATACAAGTGTGTGTGTGTGTGTGTGTGTGTGTGTGTGTGTGTGTGTTGGTCATAGGGCTTGAACTCTGGGCCTGAGTGCTGTCCGTCAGCTCTTCAGCTCAAGGCTAGAGCTCTACCACTTGAGCCACAGCACCCCTTCTGGTTTTCTGATGGTTTATTGGAGATAAGAGTTTTATGGCCTTTCCTGTCTGGGCTGGCTTTGAACCACGATCCTCAGGTCTCAGCCTCCTAAGTAGCTAGGATTACAGGCGTGAGCCACCATTGCCCAGCACGACTAAACACTTAATCACTGGCTTGCTAGGCTTCCTTCTTTCACACAGGAAGACACTGAAGGTGACAGCCCTAAGAGAAAAGTGGTTATGGTGACTTTCTGTCAATGGGTCTAGCATAATTAAGGTCAGAAAAACTTTGCCAGTAGGTGTGCGGAACTTTCAGATTTTTAAATAAAAATCCTACAAGATTAAGGCTGAATTTATAGTAATTACCTGATAATGTAAATGTTGGTATTTTACAAAATTAGAAACTTTATAAATCTTAAATGTTTTAGCATTCTCAATATTCTTAATATATAGATATATTCTTTACATATAATATAGTATATAATATATTCTTAACAGATAATACATTATAAATATTCCACATATATGGAATAAATTTTAAATCTAAAAACACCATTATGTCTTGGATTCATGAGAAGAAATAATCATTGGCATATCTCTTCTATCTTTTTTGGGGGGTCCGGTTGTGGGGCCTGAAATTTGGGCCTGGGTGCTGTCCCTCAGCTCTTCAGCTCAAGGCTAGCACTCTACCACTTGAGCCACAGCACCACTTCCGGCTTTTTTTTCTTTTTGCTTATGTGGTGCTGAGGAATCGAACCCAGGGCCTCATGCATGCAAGGCAAGTGCTCTACCACTGAGCCACCTTCCCAGCCCCTCTCTTCTATCTTTGATGCCTGTTTGGCCAGGCATCTGTAGCTCATGCCACTAATCATAACTACTCAGGAGACTGAAATCTGAGGACTGAGGTTTGAGGCTTGGCCAGGAAAGTCTATGAGACCCTTATCTCCAATTAACTAACAAAAAGCCAGAAGTGGGGCTTTGGCTCAAGTGCATGCTAGCCTTGAGAAAAAAGCTCAGGGACAGTGCCCAGTCCCTGAGTTCAAGCCCTAGGATTGTCACTTTTAAAAATATATTTTTAATAGTAAGTTGTAAATATTGTTACCTTCATCAGTGAATGTACTAATCCCATGAGGGTTAAATGAAGATAAATCAAATTTACTTCCTCTAATTTGCAATTCAGATACTGCTGGATCTTCTTCGTTCAGGTTCATCAGAAGTATTTTGCCAGGATTATCAGGTGCAAAACTCTTTATCCCAGGATATTTTAATCCCTTAAAAGCATGGAAAAGAAAAAAAAAGGCTGCACATGGGTTTGCATTTTCTGTTTTAAGCCACAGGTCTGCTCACTGTACTATACGAGAAATATCCCAGCTAGCTTGTATGATATGCTGGCAAGAGTCTTGGAAGCCACATGTCCTCCAGGCCATTCCACACAAGCTAGTCCTAGAAAAATCCTAGCTAAATCCTAGTCCTAGAAAATAATAAGGAAAAGAAAAGACTCACAGTGCTGAGGAAAGCCAGTCCATTGGGCAGTATCTCTAAATCTTCAGCACCATTTTCTGTAAAAACAAGACAGTATACATTGCTTCATATTATTGCAGAAAGCTGAAGATCCATTTCTTCATCATTCCTAACTTTGAAAATATAGCTAAGTATTAGCTATTTTTGTCAGCTTCAAAACCACGCATTTTTTTCATTTCTTTATTCAAATTGATAAATGTGATACATGGAAATTTTAAAGTTTTAATATCAAGTATAATTAAAATTGACACATTTTGATGGACTGCCTTTTGGGGATTTTTCCCTCTAAAACTTTTTGTATAGAATTTATGGAAATTCACAAAATACAAAGAAGTTGTGATTATTTGGAAATCACTTGCTGTTTTTCTAAAGATTCAGAATAGACTCAAAGTATACTCAACACTTAATAGTGACAAATGAAGTAAACACTTAGAAAGCCATGTTGAAAATATTAGTAAGCTTCAAACACTTGAGTTAAGATAGGGACACATTTTTGATGATCCATAGGCATTTATTCAGTATAAATACCAAAAAGTCACTATCTTTAAGTTAGTTGTATTTTAACTACATAAAAACTTTACACATTCAATTAATCTAGAGACAAAAGGATTACTTGGTTTTGTGTTCACCTTCTATAAGTCTTCCAAATATCCAGCGATATTTGATATCAATATTACATTTTTTTCTGGAAAAATTGTGTATCATAAGATATCTGACCAAATTTAATAACAATCAGTCTTCTAGGAGAGTTTTCTTAACTGCAGTCAACTGAGATAAATCATTCTAAACACACACACACACACACACACACACATACACACACACACACACAAAACCCAAAAACCACCACCCACCTAGAACATTATAAAATCATAGCTTCAAACTGTCTACAAAAACAAAGCTGATTGGTAGCAACCAGATGGAGAGTGGAGCCTTGGGCATTGCCTGTGGGTTCAAAACAGCCACTATCCCTCTGCCCCTTTATCTTTGTTGACAGGGTTTGACCTCCACAATGGAGGCCAATAATTACTTTCCCAGCTTCCTTTGCAGCTAGGGCACCAGTCTGTCCTCCATCTCTGCCTAATGAGATCTAAGGGGAAATCTGCTTAGAGCTTCTGGGGAAATTTTTCCCTCTCCAATCTTAAAAGAGATACATGAGGAGAAGACTTGTGGTAATTGCAAAGGCCAGTGAGAGCTTTTATTTATTTATTTATTTAAAAATGTTTTATCTACTCTCTTTCATCTTTTCCCAACTCCTCTGGTCTTATTACAATAAGACAACTGACTATTGTTTCTGCTGTAATGACCAAAGAAAAATAGTCAAAACATTGGTTAGATGTTAGTGAAGTCAAATATAAAAGGTCATAGCATTTAAAATTAATTAGTAACTCAACAATAGTTTCCTGAATCACCATTGTATTTTGGAACAAAATTAGGCAGTTATATTTGTGGGATACATAGTGAAATAATATACTGGCAGTTCAAATGAGACACTTTCCCTTCCCACATGCATACCGACTCCTTTAATGAAATTACAGTTAGGAGGTTCCACTGGAGTTACTTCACGAGAAGCAGCAAATCTTGTTCTAGAGGAGGGAAAAGAATGACACACATAAAAACTAGTCAGCGATTCAAATTGACTTGAAGCTGGTTGCTGGTGGCTCATACCTATAAACCTAGCTACTCAGAAGGCTGAGATCTGAGGACCATGGTTCAAAGCCAACCTGGGCAGAAAAGTCAGTGAAATTCTTATCTTCAATTAATCAGCAAAAAGCTTGAAATAGAGCTGTGTTTCAACTGGCAGGATGGCACCCTTGAGCAAAACCCTCAAAACTCAGTACCGAGGCCTTTTGCAAGCATACGCACATACACAAACATACACACACACACACACACACACACACACACACACACACACACACAGAATTTAGTTGCAAAGCTAAGAATCCTACACAAATTTTCCTCACCTGTACTTCACCCTGGTAAAAAATCCTAGAGTTAGTGTCCCTGGCACCTGCAATTCTACCAGACTAATGGAATCGTGAAGTATAACATTTAGTTGTGTAAAGTCTCTTACATGCAGAGATGGGCAGATATACAAGAGAGATACCTAGGGTCTTCCAGCCTCTGTCTTCTTTCACATGAACTATTTCATCAGTTAGTTGGGTTAGGACTTCTATGTGAAAAGTTTGGTTAAATGGAAACATGACTCCAATTTACTCCACTGCTTTTTGAGAACTGTTGACAGATGGACCTCCCACCCTGCTGCCCAGGCCAGCTCCACAGCCTGGACTGGGCATTGGCTTTCAGATGCAGTTTTGTGACTTCAGAAAATTATACCCAAAGCAAGCCTGTAAAGAAAGGTATCACCTCTCCACTGTACACACAAATGCACACACATACAAACCCACACATGAACGCACACACACACATATGCACAAATGCACACACACAAATACACAAAAGCAACTTGCCAAATCTGAGTACCTAAATATCACAGGGGGGAAATATTTGAGTGAAGGATAAAGGAAAAAGGAACAGATTGTAGAGGAAGCGCCTGAGAATTGCCTGAGGAAAGCTATTGATGGCTTTTGAAAGAAACCGACCATAGCATTAATGTTGCCAAGAGATTTAAATGATAAATTTGTATTTTTAGAATGGATGATGTGATATAGTCAAAGGGAGTAGTGACAATTATCCAAGAATCCCTCAAAGTTTTGTTTGGTGAAAGATTTTCGGAGAAATTCTTTTTTTTTTTTTTTGTCCTTCTGTCAATTTAGTCTCACAGGAGAACCAATGGATGAAATAAACACTCCGGATAACATTCTTATTGACATGGTATAAAATGGTGAGAATTTATGATAATATAGTATTCATATTATAAGAAATAAGTAGTGTTCCTATTATCATAACATCATTCTACCCACTCAGGCACTCTGCTCTAAGAGGCTGGGGTTAAGAGTAATAATCTGCTTTCTAAAAATGCCAACCCAGTGCCTGACCAAAATAAAGTTTGAGAGACAAAGACAGGAGGAATACTGACAGGCAAGGAGACCATGGCTCCTTGAATGATGGGCATGAATTTAGAAAGCAGACTTTAAAGGAAAGTTGAGATCTGTCCCCATATAGTGGGACACTATAAGATGTTAAAAATAGCAATATGACAGTCTAATCATCAAAGACTTTAATACAGACATAAAGTAATTGATAACATAAGTGGCTTATTCTTTTTTATTGTGAAAATACTGTACAGAGGGATTATAATTACATGGGCAAGATAATGAGTACATTTCTTATCAAGCATTGTAGCCTCCTCCTTTGTTTCCCTTTCCCATCCCTTCCTATCCTCCCCCGCCCCCCCACCCAAACCCTCCCCCCCCCCCGCACCAAAGTTGTAAAAGTTGTAAAGTTCATTTTCGACATAACGACTTGTACATCTCATTGTTGCAATGGGTCTACCTGTATCCCTATTTAAACAATTTGTTTTTCCCCTTCCCCTCCACAAATTATACCGACATCAAATACAGTGAATGCAGGGGTTAGAAACAATCGCATGAAAGAAAAAAAACATTTGAATACATATCTTAGGGTTCATTTCCCTAACATCAACTTATCTGACCTTTTCTGCTTGACTCAGACATATACTAGATATTGCAAATAAGGGAAACCATGGGACCTATGTTTCTTTGAACCTGGCTTACTTCACTTAATATAATTTTTTCCACGCTTTTCCATTTCCTAACAAATGGGGCAATGTCATTCTTTCTGATGGAGGCATAGAATTCCATTGTGTATATATACCATAAGTGGCTTATTCTTTAGATTGAGACCCACAGAAAGAAAAACATTTTAGATGGTATGAACAACACACACACACACACACACACACACGCACATACAAATATGTGAAACAAATTTCATGAGTTTACAAAACAATCCATATAATAATTTATTTTTCCAGTGTTGGGGATGGAACCCTTGACCTCTGCCTGCTAGCCAAACAGTTAACCCTAAAATATTTAACCCTAACCTATACCTCCAGTCCCATGTAATAGTTTTGTAAATAAATGTGACACATTTATTTTAACATGTTAGATAATATATATTAAATTGTTTTTGTGGTCCACTATGACGAAAGTCAATGGTCTGGGAATATGTATACAGTGTCTTCCAAGTAACTTAAAAGATAGGCTCAAGATATTAAGGGTGAAGTTCATAACTGGTAACCATGCAAATAGTTATGATGAAAGAACGGATTTTAAACATGTGAAATCACTGAATGGGCCAATACTTGTGAAAAATGCAAAGGATACCAAATGAGCCTCCTCCCCCCTACCCGCTCAAAACACTGGAAGAATAAGTATGCTGTCTGTCTCAAACAGTTGTTTGGTTGTTCATTGTGATAGGTTCACAGAGAGTAGAACAAGACAGAACTGCTCGACTCCCATTCTAATGCAATAGTTTCTCTCATAGAAGATGGCCTCTAACCTAGAAATAGCAGAATAATCACATGGGAACCAAGGCAAGTTTTTTTAAAACAGGCATTAAATCTGCACCCAGTTCCTTTGGGTTCTAATTTGTGGCTCAAGCTAGTCATATCTCAACAGAATGTCATTGATGCCATAGTTAAGGTACTGTGCATACTCTCATTTTGCCTTCCAACACCTCCCTGATGCGTTATTTTCCCTACTTACAGATGACTAAGATTAAGTGACTTTTCAAGGCCTCAGAGTTATGAAGTGCCTAAACTGGGATTGGAACTAAAGTATGAATGCTAATCTACAGGCAAGCCTCCAAGGAAAAAAAATCTTACAAATAACATTGTTGAAAAGCAGGAATAAGCACTTGAACACTTACCTGCTTGTGTTACTATATCTAGTTCAGAGTTTTTTCCTTATTCTCAGATTATCAGGAGATAACGTATCAAGGGCTCAATTAAGTCCAAATGTTCCAGATTTAAGAAATGAAGTTTAATGTCTGCACTGCATTCAGAAATCCCTTGACCTTTTCTGTGCACTGTTCTGTGCAAATACTTACTGGATCCCTACCAAAGAAAGAAAAGGGCCAGCTATGATTTCAGAGATCCATCCTGGGACTCCAGGGCCCAGGAAAATTTGTCAGTTCATTTCCTGCTGCCACATATCCCTCATTCATTCTGAAGCCTTAATAACAATCCCTGTGCTAAGGGCTCCCACACGTACTTCCACATTTAATGCTCTTAGCCACCTTTGAGGTATAGATTCACATTTCCTTGTTTTATGTGTGAGAACACTGTGGTACACAGAAACCAAGGCACTGATACGTGGCTGCTTATTTAAAATGGTGAAGTTGGCTGTGGAAGTCATTAGTTATGTTCATTGATATTTCCGGGTCTTCTCTTCCTGGAAATTTAATAAAATCTATTTCCCTGCCTCTGTTAAGTTAATCTGGCCTTGCTGTGACTTGATTTGACCAAATAAATGAGAACAGAAGTAATCTAAATGTGATCAAGTAGGTTGAAATAATACTCAAGGACAAATAAAAATTGGAAAAAAGAATGAAATCACCTTGGTTTCAAATCTTATGATGTGACATATGAGATATTGTGAAATTAGCAAACCCTGTGTACTTTTCTCAGCATCCCAGTGAAATTTCTCTATTTTGTACTAGATCCTAGTTTTAGGTAGCAGCAAAGAAAAAAACAAGCAATAGTAAAATAACTACTATAATATTTATATCCATTGATATAGACAATGTAAGTATATATTACAATATATTATATTTACAACATGGAATATATAAATATTATATTACATAGTATAATATATAATTATTATATTATAGTATATGTGTTATATATCATATATAAATATTATATATTATGTGCAACATATTATACAAAGCAATGTAAGCATATATTATAAATGTATATTATATACATATATATTTAATACAACCAATATAAGTATACACATATAGTTTTATAAATAATAAAAAATTTATGTTCTATAGAGTACTTATATTAAAAAATAAAAAATAAAATGATAAAGTTGGGATATGATATTAGATATTATGATACTCTCTTGTTCCCTATATTTCCCTATATTCCTTTTAGTCCCTCTCCCTTCTCATTTGCTCACATTTTCCCTTCTATTTAGAATGTCCTTTACCTCTTTACCCACTGGGAAGAGCCTGCATGGTAACCTTCTGTGGTATGCTTAGACACTGCTTTGTTCACCCTCATGAACCTTTACATACACATCTATCACGTTCTTTGACAATTACAGTTTGGGGTCTTGTTGTTCCTTATCACCTCTGAAAATGTGAGTGAACACTACATCCTACTGATTCCTATGGCTTGCACCATGAATATAACACCTTTAGAGATGTCAAGGAATTAGCAGATATCTGCTGGATTGTCTTTTGAAATGGCTAAGAAGGTGGTGTGGAGGCTTTGATTGGGTGATGAGGGGTTTGATGAGACATGATAATATGCAAATGTCATAACTTAGATATAAAGCTGATGTGATGAAGGCTTAGTCTCCAGTGCAATGTTGAAATAGTTTGAAAAAAGTGATTGGATCATGTAGTTGCCAATATAATCAGTGGAGCAGCCCATTGATAGATTCAGAATTGAATACACTAGTCAGAGGTGGTAGATACTATGTAAGGTGGGTCTTACTAGAGAAAGTAGACCATTATAGGTGTTCTAGTCCCTGGCCTCTTCTTCTGGTTGCTTCTTTCTACTTTCTGGCCACAATGAGGTAAGCAGTTTTCTCTTTTTTTTTTTTTTTTTGGTCCGGTCGTGGGGTCTGAACTCTGGGCCTTGGTGCTGTCCCTCAGCTCTTCAGCTCAAGGCTAGCGCTCTACCACTTGAGCCACAGCGCCGCTTCCGGCTTTTTTCTTTTTGCTTATGTGGTGCTGAGGAATCGAACTCAGGGCCTCATGTATGCAAGGCAAGCACTCTACCACTGAGCCACCTTCCCAGCCCGTAAGCAGTTTTCTCTATCAGGTGTTCTTACCACATGCTTCTGCCTCACCACAAGCCCAATGAAATGGAGTCAGCCAACCATGGACTAAAATCCCTGAGACTGGGAGCAAAAATAAAGCTTTCCTCTTACAAGTTGTTTCTCTGAGATATCTGCCATAATGATGAAAAGCTTTATCACATCAAAGATCATTTGTTAGCGTTCCTAAGTGGAACTTTGAGATGACATATGCAGTTATTAAAGCTAATGATTCCAGGTCATCTACTATGTTCTCTATAGAGATAGCTAGCTAGCTAGCTAGCTAGCTAGATAGCTAGCTAGATAGATATAGTATTATGTAGAGACTATAGAGACTCTACATAATACTATATCTATATATAGAATATATAATACTATATTTATCTATATGTGGATATAGTATTATACAGGCATATATAGAGTCTATATAGACTCTAGAGAGTCTATATATAGTATTAGAGTCTATATAATACTGTATATAGACTCTCTCTATAATACTTTATCTATAGATATAGTATTATATTATATTATGTACTATAGTTTTATATAGTATTATATATTATATCTATAGATATAAAACTATATATTATATAATATATATAATATATAGATATAGATATACTATAATATATAGTATAATATAATATTAGATATAGACATACACTATATCTATATTATGTAGTCATTTGTAGTCTAGATAGACTCTATATAGTCCATATAGTATTATATAGACACTATATAATACTATATATAGACTCTATATAATACTATATCCATCTATATATGAATAAAGTATTATAGAGTCATATAGACTCTATATAATACTATATCTATCTATCTATCTATCCTACTTTGATTAGCATTATTATCCCATAATTTTCAGGTGGAGAAAGAGGCCGGAACTTTTTTCTTCTTGGGATAAAGTAGTAAAATGACTTGAAAGTTGCAGAAAAGAGATCTTATCCCAGTAGCCAAGAATCTACTACCTCCATCTTCCCACACAGTATCCTGGGGTGAAGGTGAAGTGGCAGAAATGCACTGGTAAGGGAGCCACAGTGGTCTCACACATTATTTTAGTAGGCCACACTTCAAGCAGGCAGTGAATGATATTTTTTTTATTGTGAAAATACTGTATAGAGGGGTTACAATTACATGGGCAAGGTAATGAGTACATTTCTTATCAAGCATTGTTGCCTCCTCTTTTGTTTCCCCTTCCCATCCCTTGTGAATTATATTTTTATGGTCCTAGACTTTAGGGCTTCTTCAGTATATGCCAAATGAAGCCATATGTTGCTAATTACAAAGAGAAACTCTATCAGTCTCTTCTTTGTTGCCCCCACCTCAGAAAATGAGGTAACCTTTTTATGTTCCCACAAGTTCCTCCCACCCTGGATCTGTATAACTTCCTGAGTCTCTCCCCATGCATACACTTCATCTCTGAAGAAAAAGCCTATCCCCTCCCTGAGGCTCTGCCTGGCACAGATGCAGACCTCAGGATATAATGGTTTCCCTTCTCTCCACTGAACAGAACCATGCCTTTCTGGGACTTGGGTATCTTATCACTTAGATGAGAGTAAAAGTTGCGTTTGCCTCTTCCAGGTTTTCTTGCTCTGGTTCTGATATGAGTTAGGGTAGGGTCCGAATGCCCTTTACAGTCCTTCATAAAAATGCCCCAGGGAGTGGGCGAGCACTCTTGAGTAGCAAGGCTCGAGATCCTGCTGGAGAGAGAGTAGCACTTTCTTCCTTCTGTCTGGACTGTTCCAGAAGATTCAGTGCCCATCCTGTATTCATCTATATAGTATCATTTATCATGTTATTAATGAAAATTCACACAATATTTTATACCATTTAAAAGTCTAATTAGTAGCTTTTTGGTCTGTCTGCCTTCCTTCCTTCCTTCCTTCTTTCCTTCCTTCCTTCCTTCCTTCCTCCCACCTTTCCTTTTTTCTTTCCTTTTCCCTTTCTTTCCTTTTCCCTTCTTTCCTTCCTTCCTTCCTCCCTTCCTTCCTTCCTTCCTCCCTTCCTTTCTTCCTTCCTTTCTCTCTCTTTCTTGCCATCTCTCTCTTTCTTTCATTCATGCATTATTTCTTTCTCTTTTTCAGTGCTATTAGTGGGTCTTGAACTCGGGAGTCTCATTTGCTCATGGCTGATGGCCTACCATCGAGGCACATCTCCAGCCATGCTTTTTATGGGTTAGCTGGAGATGCAGTCACACAGACTTTTCTGCCTGAGCTGGCTTCAGATCACAATCCTCCAGATATCAGCTACCCAGGTAGCTAGGATTATAGCTGTAGCCCCCACTGCCCAGCTACTAACTTACTTTTCTAATAGTATTCTGACATTTGTGTTTTCAAAAATAACAATTTGAAAAAAACCAAAGTAATTTATTTTTAAGAACTTATTCTGAATGATTAGCCCATGTAATATTTTTAAATTCAGTTTATTTTTATTAATGTTTTACTTCAAGGTAAATAATATGAAATGTATTATTGATTAGGGTGCTCTCTAGACTTTGAACTCCTGTAAAAATTTACCATGAAACTTTCAATTATTTTTCACATCCCCACATAAACTCTACAGCACCCTTAGAGATTATTAAATACTCTAAAGGAATTAGAAATGAACATTGAGCCCTGCACTGGTGGCTCACGCCTGTTATCCTAGCTACTCAGGAAGCTGAAATCTGAGGACTGCAGTTCAAAGCCAGCCTGGGCAAAAAAGTCAGTGAGAGTTTTATCTCCAATTAATCACAGAAAAAGCTAGAAGTGGCACTGTGGCTGAGTGGTAGAGTGCTAGCCTTGAGCAAAAGGAGCTTAGGGACAGTGCCCAGAGTTCAAACCCCAGGACCACAAACAAACAAACAAAAAGAAAAAAAAACAACAACAAACATTTCCTCAGCAGTTATGATGCCCACTCTTATCTTTGCTGCTTCTTATATAAATTTCCATTACCACTTCCTGTTTACTGAAGCAGCAAAGCGTGGATTTGCAACATGATTTGCCCCAGAACCCAGAGCATTAAGTGTCAGCACCAGAATTCTTTTCTCTCTGCCTGGCACCCACTGGAGCAGGTTGGGCACCTTAAAGAGCCTTAGCTCTGGTCCACATGGTAGATCACTAGCAAGGGGACATTTACAAGGGTAGATGAAAGGTGGACCTTTATAAAGGCCCTGTGAGATGTACATGTAGATGGGGCCTGCAGATTTTTTGTGGTGTGGTTGTAAGAGCCTGTACCCTGTTTTGTGGAGGTAGAGGTGGTCCTAGGGAGGCAGCCCTCACCCCAACCCAACTTACTGGTAAGAAGACTGGTGGCCTTTGAAGAGAGCGACTGCCAGCCCCGCGAGGGTGAGCACCAGCAGTTTTGCCATAGCCTGGGATGGACGGAAGGACGGACTGAACGGATGGGTGCAGCCACTGCTAAGAGCCCCTTCCTGCTAATGCCTACTAGCTAGAACAGCCCCTTCCTGCTAGTGCCTACTAGCTAGAACGCCTGGGATTTGGCTTGTCCCACCCACTTATCTCCGCCCCTGCGTCTGGTTGGGTCTTCAGCTCCACCCCAGTTGCCCTGTGCTCAAGCCCAAGAACTTCACACTGCAGGCCTGTTACCTCAGGTGGCTCCCTGGGCTTTTAAAGAGAAAACAGAGCACCAGGTGCCTAGATTGGTTAAGAAGTAAACATCAAGGAAATTGAAGGAAATAGAGAGCCGTGAGAAAGAAGAGCCAGTCTGCTGAATTTTTTTTTTTTTTTTTTTTGTGAAAATGAGCCTAATCCTGGGTACTCCGATGAGGTCAGTAACTTAATCATAATAACTCGGCCCAAACAACAACAAAAAGAGAGAGAGAGAGAGAGGAAGAAGAAGAAGAAGAAGAAGGAACTGTGGTTGGAGCACCTACCCTCTAACTTTCTCACTAGTCCACTTCTGACCTTTCAGCTCACATGCTTACATCACACCACTGCTTATTTATTCCCTCACTTGGCTGACATTTATCAAGGATCAGTTGTGTGCCAGGCACTGTGCTCCATGCTAGATGAATACGCCAGTCTCTCTCACATTCCAACCTAGACAACCAACAAAGACAAACACATCCCTTTAATATATGTAATGCTCTGGTAATGTATGTGTGCTGTACACTTATAGGTATATCATGGGGAGAAATGAACAGGGAAGACACAGAGAGTTCTGAAGTTGCCAGTTAAACATTTGTGCATCAAGGAAGGCCTCATCCAAAAAGCAGCCCAGAACACGGAAGCAGGTGTCTTTGCACACTCAATTATCTCTCCTCTCTTATCACTTCATAAATGCTTCCTGCTTTGCTAAATATCATCCTACCTTACTTGTCCTGGGACTCTTTCCTACTTAAATCTTTTGGATTACAGTCATAGCTTCTCACTCACTTCTGTAATATCTGTCTCTTCTTTTTTTTTCTGGAAAATTCCTATCGGGTACCAATGTGCTTTAGTTATCATCCATGGATTTCTGATGAGGAAATACTCTTGATCTCCTATTCTATTTCTCTACTTCTCTGCTTCTCTTGGAGACATGGTTTTAAGCCTTGAGTTTCTGTGTAATACATATGACCATTCATTGGAACACCTAAGTGAAAGGCTATGCACATATGGAAGGAGAAGCAGATGCAAAGCCTTCTTGAACCAGACCAGACCACTTGCACTGAGTTATGCTGGCTGACACCATGTGAAGCAGAAGGATCTACCCAAGCTAGAAGGCTTACAGAATCCAAGAGATGACAGTATTTGAAAAATGGCGGTGGCCATCTGTGAACAGACAACTAGATTTGATCACATGGATGCAATAGGTGGCTTCATTGGAACAAGTTCTGTAGTTAAGTCAAAGGAATACTTCTGTTATTAGAATGTGATAAAGAGAAAGGAAGATTGGAGATGCCCCTCTAAATCAGTTTTGTATGCTTATACTCAATGGCTAAAGAATTTGGGAAGGGCTCAGCAGTCTGCATGGTGGACTTTCTCTCTTCTATGTCTAATAGTCTTTTTAAAACCTATACAAAGATAGAACAGTTGAACCCCCATCTGAACTTACGTTTCCCAAGCTCCTGCACTTCAGTAAATGATACCTCTTCTACCAGTTGTCCAAGCCACAAATCAGATATTTGTCCATTCCTTTCTCTCCCACTTCCTTCCACCAAATATATGTCAATCCCAAAGATTACTTTTTATTAGTCATTTGTTACCACACAACAAATTATGTTGTGCTTAACCTAACCATTAAAAGCAATAAACAAGCTTGGCACAACTGACCCATGTCTGTAACCCTAGCTACTCAGGAAGATGAGATTTGATTTGAACACCAGCCCAGGCAGGAAAGTCCATGAGACTCTTATTTGCTATAAGTAAGCACCAAAAAGAAGCCAGAAGTGGAGCTGAGGCTTAAGTGGTAGAGAACTAGCCTTGGGCAGAAATGTTAGTTACAGTGCATAAGCCTGAGTTCAATCCTCAGGACCAGCACCAAAAAAAAAAAAAAAAAAGAAAGAAAGAAAGAAAGAAAGAAAAGAAAAAAAAGCAATAAGCATTTACTGTTTAATGGTTTTTCCCTTTCCACCACCATCCTTGTAGTCCAAGCTGCCATTGTGAGCTGGTTGATACAAACCTTTCATTGTTTTCCCTAATTTCCCACAATCCATTCTTCTCAGTGTAGCCCATTAATCTTTTAAAAATGTAAATGAGATTATATCATTTCCCTGCTTAAATTCCTCCCCCCAGAGCATCTCATTTTACTTTCTTATTACAGCCTAAAGGGCCCCATAAGATCTGGTCTGGGCTTAGACATCTGACCTAATTTCTTATCATTCACTCAGCACAATGTTGCCACATCAGCTTTTCCCGCGGTTCTGCACACATGCCAAGCCTATTGCACTTCACTGACCTCCTCTGTCTGTTCTTTGGCTGCAGTACTCTTTTTAATACTTTTCCTCAGAGGCCTTTCCCAATTTTACCATCTTTAGTATCTTCTTATTCCTGCCGTCTATTCCCACCGCCAGCCATAAGACCCTAAAGCTGATAGCAAATGGTTGTAAGCAATAGAGTTATTCTTACTTATAAAAGTGATCTAGTCCTATACTGGTTGGTATAAATAGCCACTTCCTCAGGCCCTTCGACACATCTCCTATGACATTTGCCATTTTACCTCCCCTGGAGACTCCTTCATTTACCACCATCTAGCAAGAAAGCAAGGGTACAACAGAGTCTCTGTGATACTTTCTCCAAATAGTGCTTTGCTCATTCTGACTGGCTGAAGCTGGGGTTTACCTGTAGTTCAGGCCTCTGACCATCTCCTCTACCTTTGCAGTGCTCTTCACCCTATGACAGCTTCCTACTTACCCATTGGTTTGCCTGTGTGCTGAGTGCTCTTCTGTATTGAATGTGAACTACAGAAGGGCATAGGCCTCTATTGATTTGGAAACCACATTCTCTTTCATTCCTGTGGCAACTTTTGGCACTTATAGTTTCTCAAACATGTGTAGAAGGAATGAAATCATGCGTGGGGGCAATGGATGTGGAATAGAGGAGACGAGGAGTGGGGAGAAAGCGGTGGGTTGAGGTGTAGGCCGAAGATACTACTCTCTTTTCCTCCGATGCAATTGTTGGGGCGGGTGGGTGGACAAAGAAGCCAAGTGATCTTTCTGGCACAAAAATCCATGGCATTTGTTTGAGACCATGGATTTTGTCTTTTCTGTGCCTATTCTCTCTTTTCTCAGCCCATTTTATCTTCCTTTTGTTTTCCATAAGGAAAGATAGAAAAAGGTTTCCCAAGTCTCCCACAGGATATGGGATGGGATGTGAAGATGGAGTTGATGGAGTTTCTTTCTTTGAATTTTGCTGTGGCCTAACCACTTTCTTTCCATGTGCTTGACCTCTGGCAGCATTCACTAGTTAACTTGCTACACAAAGAAAGAGAAAGGTGGTGCCCCAGTAATAGTGCTCTCTGAACCCTCAGCCCCAGTTCTGATAGGGGAGAAGTCTATTTCTTCAAAATTTGAATTTAGTTGATCTTGAAATTTGCTCCTCCAAACCAAGATCTAGGTCTCCTTATTCCTCAGTCTATATAGAAATGGATCATAAGAAAGGTCATTATTACTCTGATCGGTCCCATTTCTCCCCCCAAGTTCCCCAAGATAAAAAAGATTCATAGCATGTGAAGTATTAAAATGTAATTGTTTCCAATATCATAAGAAGACATGTTAAGTGTTCCTCAAAGGAGCTGAAGTGTCTGGATTCAGGGACAGAACATCTGAAGGTGGAAGTTTAAGTGGTGGAATGAGTCAACTTGGGCTCTGGGTGCTGTGGGTCACTGTAGTCTGGAAGTGGCCAAATTACTTCACTCTTGGACTAATTTTGTAAGGGAGATTCATGCTCCGTTCTTTTGGAATAAAATAATACTAGCACCTAGCTACTCAGCAGACTGAGATTTGAGGGTCATGGATTGAAGCCAGCCCTTGGAAGGAAATTCCCTGAGACTCTTACATTCAATAAAATATTCACAAACAAAAACAAAACAACAACAACAGAAAACACACCAGAAATTGAGCTGTGGCTCAAATAGTATAGCGCTAGCCTTGAGTAAAAGTAGCTTAGGGATGGCACCTAGGCCTTGAGTTCAAGCCCCTGGACTGGCACAATAATAATAATAGTTCAGCAATACAATTAATTCTTGGTCATTCTAAGAGTAGAATTTATAGACTACCACTATCAGCACTTAAAGGCCATTGCTAAAAGCCAAGAAATGAATAAACCCAGGCTTTTTAAAGAACATGTAGTACAAACTAGAAAGAGTGGTACATGTCTGTTATCCTACCTACCCAGGAGATGGGATCAGGAAGGTAACAGTTTAAGGCCAGCCTGGACAGAAAAGCCCCCAAAATCCATTTCATTACATAAGAGCTGGCTGTGGTGATATACACCTGTCATATCAGGTATGTGGGAGGCATAATGTAGAAGGATTTTGTCCAGGCTCAACACGAGACCCTACATGAAAAATAACTAATGCTAAAATAGCTAAGAGCATGCCTCAAGTGGCAGAGCCTTGAAAGCACAGCACAAGAGTTCAAATTACTGCCAAAAAGAAAATATAATATGTAAGAACAACAGAATACTATGCAGCCTTCAGAAAAGAAGGAAATTCCATAGTTTGTGCCAAGATGTATGAACCTAGAAGACATTAAATGAAATAAGTCAAACATAGAAAGAAATACTGCAGTATGGAGGTTCCTCAAAAGACTCCACATAGAGCTCCCCTATGACTCAGCAAACCCACTTTTGGGCATTTACCCAAATGTTTACAAACAAGACCACACTAAAGCTACCAGCACGACTATGTTTATTGCAGCATCATTTACCATAGC